TAATGGCTAACCTTTCCGTCCTCGCATGCCAAAGTGCATGTACACCAGCACCCATAAGCCAATGCACATGCCCCCCCCACCCCCTGCACATATGCGCGTGACCCCCACCACACATCTCTGCGCATGCATGCATAACTCCTGCACATGCCCCATCCCCGCACATGTGCAGTAGCTACCCGCCAATGAGCTGGTGGGCGGGCGGCACGTGTGCCTGTACAGTAGACTTGCTCTGGAGTGATGGATCATGTGCTGGCGGAGATGGCTCTGCATGCCACTTCCGGCACGTGTACCATAGGTTCGTCATCCCGGCCCTAGACAATATCATTTTGAAATATTGCATTTATTATGGGAATGATTGCTTAAGAAAATAAACAAAATGCAATTATGATGAAGAGGTCTCTAAGATGATTTGAAATGACGCCAAACAAAACCAAGTTATTGAAAGCCAAACAAAACTGATTTTATGAAGTTTGGAACTAAATGCAAAAAAAAAAAAAAAAGACACCCCTCCCACCCCTGAATTTGTTGAGGACAGTTAAAATTGATAATCCTGATCCATTTTCTGCCTTTGCAGATGTTTCCTTGTTACAGTTCCAGAGCCATATGGATTCAACATTTCAGATAGGTCTAAGCATTTGCTTATGTTATCTTATATTTATATATGACATAATGGACTTTTATTTTGAAAGTTCAGACATAAAAACACACTTGAATAAAAACGCACTTGAATAAAAAGACATCTGCCGGTTTGTGGAATTTACTATTAAACTTAGAATTTAACAGTAGCAGTAGTGCCAAGGTCACAACTTCACTACTGAACTTTCTAATGTCCCGCATGTTGTTTTTGGCTTTTACATTGTCAGTATTTTATTTATTGTAAAGAGGTCTGTCTGCTTCTTTCAAGTGTTTGTAAGGAAGAGAGGGAAACTATTTTTAACTGTCATGCAGATGTATGCTCAGCTACTCAGGTGACAAGGTAATATTGATGATGATTGGCAGCAAAACCTTGTGCGATATTTGTCTAACAAATATCTAACAGGGTTCTATCTACCGTGTTTCTCATATAATAAGGCCGGGTCTTATTTTTTTTTGAGCCCCGAAAAAATGGCTAGGCCGTCTTTTCGGGGGTGACTTAATTCCCCCCCCTTGCATCTTCGGGCGGGAGGGCAGCGATGGCTTGGATGTTGATCTTGGCATTGGTGGGGCACTTCATATTGGGGTCAACGCAGGCAGCACCATATCCGGGTGTGCAACAAAAGTACTTCCTAACGGCAAGCACCCCCACCATTCCCCCCATTTCGCATGTTTTAATATAGGCCTTAATTTGGGGGGAGGGGCTTAATTTCTTTTCATGCCTATAAAACATGCTGGGACTTCCTATTGGGGGAGGCCATGTTGTTGGAGAAACAGGGTATTTATATTTTAACTGATAATCCTGTAAAATGATGTAAATGTAAAACACTTCATTGATTATGCTTCTGACTATATCTTCTCATGATAAAATACAAAGAAAGAAAGAAAATACGGCTAAATTCAACATCATATTTGTCTGTGAAACATAGCTCAATGCATCTCTCCTTGACTCCATTACCACAGTAAGAGACTATCATGTTTACCGATCAGACCGTGAAATCCGTAGAGGAGGTGGTGTTGCTATCTTCTATAAAAAGTCGTTACATCTAAAAAAAAAGTTGTTACATCTAAAAAACATCCAAGTTACCCAAGAGCTTGCTTTTCCTGAGATCATCATCTGTGAACTGTCCTTAAATATCACATTTCAATTCTTACTATGTTACAGAGCCCCGGATTATGACATCGAATTTGTAAACAAGCTAAATTCACTACTAACATGGGCAACATCCTGCCCACACACTTCTATCTTTCTTGGTGATTTCAATCTACCTCACATTAACTGGACCCTAAACGAATGTAAAACTTGAATCCATACATGCAACCTTCTAAAATGCTGTAACAAACCTGGGACTGGAACAACTAGTAACCAACAATACTAGGCTTAACAACTGTCTCGATCTCATCTTCTGCAATAGTTTGCATTCAGTTTACGGAATAGAAATTAAAGAACCCTTTTCCAACAGTGACCACAGCATGATTGACTTTTGTCTCAACATACGTCTACACAAAAATCAACACAACGATGTGATCCCCAATTATAACTTCAAAAAAGGCAAGTATGATCTTACAGACAATGATCTCTCGATCCCTTGATTGGCAATTTCTATTCACTGGATGCAATACTGTTGAAGACCATTACAACATATTTTTACTTGAAGTCAAAAGAGTCATCAAACTATATGTACCAATAACAACTCCAAAAACCAGAAAAAAACAGATTACCCATAACAGTAAGGAAGCTTCAATCCAAAAAGAGATCACTTTGGCAGAAAAACAAATCTGGTCACGTTGCCAACTTCCCAAGCCGATACAAAAATTTATGCCACCAGATAAAGACTGAATGCACCAATTACCACGTTAAACAAGAGGAAAACTTTCTATGTACCAATTCCACCCGCGCTTTCTACAATTTTGTAAACAACAAACTAAAATACTCAAGGTCCATCCCACCCCTGAAAGGACCTAATGGTAAAGACTGCAACGACGACACTGTTAAAGCCAATATCTTAAATACATTCTTCGACTCAGTATTTGTAAACAGCAGTGGATCATGCCCAATATTTCCTAGTTGAACCACAGACAACTACAATGATCTAATGCATATCAATTTTACAGTAGACAATGTTGAAAAAGCACTTCACAATCTAAAACCATCTCTATCTATTGGACCGGATGGAATATGTGCCTACTTCTTAAAAAAGATATCCACTGCCATAGCTGAACCTCTAAGCATAATCTTTGAAAAATCTTTCAGGACCAGCTCCTTGCTAAACTATGGTCACAAGCCACAGTCATCCCCATCTTCAAAAAGGGAGACCCCAGCCTAGTTGAAAATTACAGACCAATCTCTTTATGCTACGTCACCTGTAAAGTCATGGAATCAATTATTAACCAATCCATTATCCTTCCACTTGGAGAAAAAACAACCCACTCTCTAATAAACAATTTGGTTTCAGGAAAAAAAACTATTCTGCAATCTGCAACTCTTACCCTGCAAAAACATATGGACTACACAGCTCGATCAGGGCAAAACAATAGACGCAATCTACATAGACTTCTGTAAAGCCTTTGATTCAGTGGTACACGACAAACTACTCCTAAAACTAAAATATTACGGTATCTCTGGACACCTGCATAACTGGATAGAAGCATTCCTGTCAAACAGACAACAAATAGTCGAAATTGGGAGTGTCCTATCAAATTCTGTACCTGTCAACAGTGGTGTCCCGCAAGGCAGCGTTCTAGGACCAACTCTCTTCATACTCTACATAAATGACCTCTGTGATCATATTAAGAGCAACTACGTTCTCTTCGCTGATGATGTAAAGCTATTCAACACCACAGACAATACTGCTACCCTTCAAAAAGACCTTGACTATGTATCAGAATAGTCAAACAAATGGCAACTTCAAATCTCAACAAATAAATGCTCTGTCCTACATATTGGCAAAAAAATAATAATCAGAAAATAAAACACAGGCTGAATAGTTAAGACCTTGTTGATGATCCAAACTCTGTCAAGGATCTTGGAGTACTCATCTCTAATGATCTAAGTGCTAGAGTCCACTGTAATTACATAGCCAAAAAGGCATTAGGAGTTGTTAACCTAATCTTACGTAGCTTTTTCTCTGGTAATACTACACTACTAACTAGAGCATACAAAACATTTGCTAGACCAATATTCGAGTACAGCTCATCAGTCTGGAACCCACATTACGTATCTGATATTAACACAGTTGAGAAAGTCCAGAAATATTTCACAAGAAGAGTTCTCCACTCCTCTACTCATTGCAGAATACCTTACGCCACCAGACTTGAAATTCTAGACCTAGAAAATCTAGAACTACGCTGCCTTCGGTCCGATCTAAGTATAGTATATAAAATCATGCATGGCAATGTCCTACCTGTCAATGAATACTTCAGCTTCAACCATAATAATACAAGAGCAAACAATAGATACAAACTCAAGGTTAATCGCACCAAACTTGATTGCAGGAAATACAACTTCAGCAACAGAGTGGTCAATGTCTGGAATACTCTACCTGACTCTGTGGTTTCTTCCCCAAACCCCAAAAACTTTAACCTTAGACTTTCTACTGTTGACCTCACCCCTTTCCTAAGAGGTCTGTAGGGGGCGTGCATAAGTGCACCAATGTGCCTACCATGCCTGTCCTATTGTTTCTTTTATTTTTTCTTATACGTATCCATGTATTCATAACTATGTTTTTACTTATACCTATTATCTTGTAAGCAATTGACAAACCAAATAAAATAAAATTTAAAAAATATAATTTAAACTGTAGCAAGTAACAAGTAAATAGCCTTCAGCATTCAATCTGAACAGAAGGATGACAAATACATCAAGTGATTTTATTTTATTTTTTTCAAATTTTGGGGAGGCAAAGTTTAGGTTGTTATTGCTTGACCATCTATTTTACTTTTAAAAGCAAGTAAATTCAGTATATAAATAATTTTGATAAGCACTTTTATGCAGGCAATACACAAATAGACGTAAGAATATATGTATATGTATAATGTATACATGTACATACACAACACACACATACACAATATTACGTTTTATTGCAAAATTACACTTGAAACAGCATGATCTGAAAATTTCCTGAGATACATTTTGAGGGTGTTACTTATCCACTCATACTTCATTTAATAGCACAGCAGAATGTTTCCTCTTTGGCAGATTTCAACTCTTTTGACAACATTTTATTTTAGAAATGTATAAGACTTCTTATGATTCTCTTCAATGATTCTAACCTGCTCTCTCTTTGAGCTTTTTTTTGGACTGCACTGTGTCTAAATAATGTTGAATCTTGTTTTCCCCTCCTCTTGTTTTGGACAATTCTCAGGGAAACCATCTGGACACACCGAGTCTTGTTTCTAGAGGAGAGAATTCTTAGTAATTGGACATCCTTCACCATTTGGAATGCTGGCAAACAGGGCAGAAAACTTTTTAGAAGTTTATCTCCAGCTAATCAGAACAAAGTAAGTTTGAACAAATATTTTACAAGTGGGCATCACTTCAATAAACACTCATTCTTGTTGACATATATTTTCAAAATCATTGTATTCAATGTATTCAATATGAAATATAGAATATTATTTTTATTCATTTTTATTTCAAAATGTTCCATTTTCCCATTTATAATAAATATTACAGATGTACATACAAAAAAAATTTCAAAATTTATACTGATAATAAATTAGATAAGTGACAACCATGTTGGCTGGTTATTACTAGTAAAACATTGTCCAGAAAATATTTTAAGAACATCTGTAGAACATGTGTTAATTCTGAATGCTGTAACATTATAATGTATTTGTCATTTGTTTCACTAATTGTTTCATCTTGAAGCCATGGTGGCGCATTGATTAGAGTGCAGTACTGTGGGCTACTTTTGCTGCCTGCCAGCTGCCTGCAATTTGGCAGCTCATATCTCACCAGGCTCAAGATTGACTCAGCCTTCCATCCTTTCGAGGTGGATAAAATGAGGACCCAAATGGTTGGGAGCAATATGCTGACTTTGTAAATCGCTTAGAGAGAACTATAAAGCACAACATATAAGTCTGCTATTGCTATTGCTATTTTTAGAGAAAAATAGTGATTGTCTTGACGTATTAAGAAAAAGGGTTGTTAACTATATTTTACTTATTCCATACTTTATTGTATTAGCTATATGCTATAGAAGTTAAATTATAAATACATAGCCCTTGGAAGCTACTTGTATGTCCCAAGGTAGTATATGGAAGTGATTTATTAAGAAATAAACAGATACAGAGAGATATTTCTATTCTACATCCATCCATCCATCCATCCATCCATCCATCCATCCATCCATCCATCCATCCATCCATCCATCCACCCATCATTTCCAAGGTGGTGTTCTGACCAAGGCTTCCGAGACCATAAGTAAGCTTAGTTAAAACAACTCTTGTTTTATTTCAGCACTGGGAATTATGTTCATTCCCAGCCTATAATGAATCCCAAACAGTCCGTCGAGATAAGCACCCACCTTTCTCTCCTTTGAATTGCTGCCAACAACTAAAGTGCCAAATGAACTATAAAAAAAACCAGCTGAAGTACAAAGTCCACACAGAGCTTCAAGGATTAATCCAAACAGAATGAACGACTTTGCTTCCTACAAAGGTTTCTTCACCTTTGCCCGTCCTTTATACCTTATGGGAGGGGCAATCACCTCCAAGCCTTATCCCTGAGTCACCCCTTTTGTCTCAGCTGCTCTTGCTTTCTAGCAGCTCTGAGCACACGCACACTGGGAACAGGCTCCCCTTGTTCCTCTGCCTCGCTGCTGCCAGACTCCGGAGGCTCCGGAATCAGCACCCCACTTCCAGATGGTCCTGGCTCCATCTCCGCATCAGACTCAGGACCCTGGTCCAAGTCGTCTCCAGATTCCTGGACTGGTCCCCATTCTTCCCCACTGTCTTATTCTGCTGCGGTCTGCACAGGCTGCCGGCGAACCACAACAGTTGGTTCAAAGTAGCTGCTATTCAGATGACGAGATGTCATGCTTTTGCATAGGAAAGACCATTGTCTTACTACAGGAAAAGAAAAATTTTGGCATTTTGTCTTATACTCCACAAGTGTTGCATACAAACACAGTTTTATGAATCTTGTTGAGTAGTTTAAGACCACCTTCTTTGACTGTAAATAAAACAGTAAACAGATTGTTGTTCATAAGAACAGCTTAACTGCTGGACACACAGAGGCAATTATTTCTTTTACAGCTGAAGGATTTTCCACTCCAAAATGTTGAGTCATCTTAATCACTGGAGTGCATTTTGCAAACTTGTTTGTTGCTATGGAAATTTCATCATTTTCTTCTATTGTTGTGCAACATGCTTTGTAAAATCCCCTGAACGCTTTCATTTATCATGATTTTCACGTGATGAAATTGTTTCAGAGTGGTGGGCAATAGGACAGGGTTTCAGGCTTCAGTCAAGAAAAGAGACTTCACAAATGAAGAACAGCAATCGGTCCTTGAAATTTCCTTTGCAGTTTGTTGTTTGTGAAGTTTTTCACTGATCAGTTGAAAGTGGCCACTGGTATGGATCAAGGCAGTTTTCTTAACCTGGTTTGCAGCAGATGTACTGATGCCTGCTCTGTTGTGTATTTTATAACAATGCAGACCCGAAACCCAAAATTACTATAAATTAACAGAAGTAGCATTGTAAGAATAGAATCATTGTTGGAGTTTCACCATCAGCTAAGTCAGCTTTTTTCTGTACTGTATTGCAGAATAGCAAAACCTTTCTTATTACTGGTGTGGCTGTAATTAGCTGAGATGCTCAAATTCTTCTAAGCTGACCTTTGCATAACATTTGCTTTGGCAACACTGTGGGCCAGAATATCAAGGTTGCAATTAAAGTTATTTCTTTTTTGCCTTGCTAGGCAATTGAAAAAAAAAAACAGTTGGAAATATTAACCCAGTCAGTACAGAATATTTTGAAACAATCTGGGAAAAGATGCTTTTGCCTTCTCCACTTTGTTCAATTATGGTTGATTTCAAAATAGTGTATTTGGTCTTGATTTACTGATTGATAATGGAATGCTTTCTTGTAGCTTTTTAGCTAAGATATCAGCAGAGTACTAAATTATCAGAAAAATCCAGGACATAGTAGAAATACAGAACACAGAATAACAGAGTTGGAAGGGATCATGGAGGTCTTCTAGTAATCTACTCCAACCCTCTGCTCAAGCAGGAGACCCTATACCCATGATGGCGAAACTATGGCACGCATGTCACAGGTGGCATGCAGAGCCATTTGCACGCGAACCACAGGCAAACTTACCTCACTGCGCATGCGTGTGCCTCACAGCTGATTTTCAGCCTGTTTGAGGCCTTTTGCGGCCTTCCAGTGGCTTGAGGAAGGCCTCTGCAGTCCGAAAAATAGGCCTGTTTTGTCACTTCTTGTATTTCCGGAAATACTGGAAGTGATGAAACGGGCCTATTTTTCGGGCTGCAGAGGCTTTCATCAAGTCTCTGGGAGGCAAGAAAAGGCCTCCAACGAGCTGAAAATCAGCTGGGAGGTGCAGTGCAGGTAAGTGGGCAGGGGGGGGATTGCATGCGCATGTGCAGGGGCAGGGGCGCATATTGCCTTCTGGGTGCTGGCACGCAAGTGTGCCAACCTTTTTGCTCCTTTTGGGCAAGCGCAAGCACAATTTTTGGCACAGGAGCCCAAAAAGGTTAGCCTCCACTGCCCTGTACCATGTTAGACAAATGACCATCCAATCTCTTCATAAAGGAGGAAATTTATTTCCACTGATCAATTACGCTCACTGTCAGGAATTTCTCCTTAGAGATTGGATCTCTCCTTGATAAATTTCTAACCATTACTTTTTGTCCTGCCCTCAGGTGCTTTGTAGAATAGTTTGACCTTCTCTTCTCTGGCATCTTAAATAGTGGAAAACTGCTATCAAGTCACCCCTAGTCTGTCTTTTCCTTAGACTACACGTATCCAGTTCCTGCAGCTGTTCATATGTTTTAGCCTCAGTGCCCTAATCATCTTTGTTGCTCTTCTCTGAACTCTTTCTAAAGTCTCAACACCTTTTTTTGTATCATGAGTCATGACTAAAACTAGACAATATTCCAAGTGTGGTCTTACCAAAGTAGCATAAAGTGGTAGTAACACTTCACAATGTTCAACCCTATATGCTGCAGCTTTATACCTAAATGTTCCTCTCAGAATAGGTGCATAAAACCACTATTCTTCCTCCAAGAAGCAGAGACTACTAAACTTTTATTTATTCCCCAAATCTTTTATTCCTTAGACTGTCTAAATATTTTTCATAATCCTTGCTCATATTACCATCTCCCCTTCATTTGTTGAAATTGAGACTATAGGTTAGATGGGGCAAGTTTTTTCTTCTTTCTTTGCTTTTAGAATTCCATGGTGCCATCCTTAGTAGGGTATTGGATTTGATGTCCTAAATCAGTGGTGGGATACAATTTTTTTTACTACCAGTTCTGTGGGTGTGGCTTGGTGGGCATGGCAGAGGAAAGATGCTATAAAATCTCTAGTCAGAGGTGGTTTCCAGTTCTTTTCCAGTTCTCCGAACTGTTCAAAATTTCTACTACCGGTTCTCTAGAACTGGTCAGAACCTGCTGAATACCACCTCTGTCCTAAATGTCTTCTCCCTGTAATTCTCTGAAAGGAAAATCCAAGGAGTTTAGGTTTAAACTCCTAGGTTTAAAGAGATTTGTGGGTTTTTTTTTGCAAAGTGTACATGAATTTTATGCATATATATTTGATGAATATTTCTATATTTGCATTTGTATTTTCATAATCTCTTCCACTTTCTCCTTCCTTCCTTCCCTCCCTTCCTTTTACAAATTTCCTGCTTTCAGATGGTCTTATTCTGATTCTCTCATACATATTTTGCATAAGTTTCTCCCATTGTTCTGAGTGAGTAGCCTAGTGTTTTGACAGAGCCTATTCCCAGACACTTGAGAAAAAGATCTTCTCTTTGCTAAGATTTATCCAAGCCTGCACAGGCTTTCCCAGAGGATTCCAGAATATCTCCCACATTGCATGCCAACTTGTATGTAGAGTAAGGAGCCAATTGAAAAGGTTTGTCTACTAAAATCCATCATATATGCGAGAAGATTATGTGGTATTGTTTTTGGTACTTTGGAAAACAGCAATTTCTGATTCATCGAGTTACATGTTTTCTTCTCAAATGTATTAGAGTTAGGACAAGATTTAGGAATCTAATTGTTTTTTAGAAAGTTGATAACATTTCAAGGACCACTCTATTGTTACAACAGCCATTCCGTTATGGTTGCCATTCTGAATAGTTTTAAGAAACTGGGTTCCTAACTGTATCTTTTTAGAAATTCAAGGGATTGACAGAGCATGGTTGTAGTATTTCTGCAAGACTGAAGCTGAACAGACCTTTTTTGTTTAAAAAAAGCATCCAATTCATTTTGAGCTTGCAGCTGTAGAAAACCAATCTTTTATGGGATACTTAAAGGTCTGCTTTATGCTTGTCTATCCAGGTTCAGTATCATGAATGTTAGAGTTACTTTTATGACTTCATTCTGCCATTCAAGTTGCAAAAAGTTCAATTTTAATTAGAAAAGGAAAAAAAAGAGAAAAAAAAATCTATCCTTCAGTTGAACAAATGATGCCACCACAATCACATGTGAAAATGAGCAACTTTGTACAGTTTTCTGTCCAGAAAATCTTATGCAACTAAATAGTTAAAATTTTGAGTTTAAAGAAATAATAAATATAAGCTATTCTGGTTCAAATACTATAAAATATGACAGGAAAGCTGGTATTCTATCACCATTCCACCTATATGTTACATTACACATACACTTATGCAAACAGCCTCATATACATGCCCATATTTTATTGTACTTCATTTGAAAAGGGGAAGAAGGAGTGATATATAGAGATGTGGAAATTCAGGAAATTGCCCTTGCAAAACAAAGCATCATCATATTCCTTAATATATTGCTGACATAATGATTTCAAATATCTTAGCCTTAAAAATAACATTTTTTTTAAAAAAAATGTGGTCTTTTCTTGCTTTTCTATGATAATGCAAAAGAAAGAATCCCTTCCTTTGTAGTTTGGATTCTCTTATTTGTGCTTGTTGTCTTGAGAAATTTCAGAATGTGGCTGCCTGTGTGCAAGACCTACTTGAAGTCCATCTCCAGTGTTGGTTGCATTGAGGCAGAATAGAGAACAGTGGCTTGCTGTATTACATTTGCATCATTATTTGCATTAGTATGTCCTGTTATTTTGGATTCTTTTTGGCTTGTAGATCTCAACGATAGGGGCTGGGTACGTGCAGAAATTAGCACTTTTCCTTCATTCTTTCTTTCTATTCCTTTTTTCTTGTTATCTTATTCAATCCACTAAGACAGAACTGGCCATAAATTTAAATTCAATGCAAGGGGGGTGATTCCCATTGCCTAAAGTTCTTTGTTGAAGAAACGCTCCTCTGTGTAGTCAAATTCTAATAATATTTCTGGGAAAGTGATTGATAGAGAATGGCCTTGTAGTTCCAGAAGAAACTCTTCCATGATTCAAGAGACCTACAGTTATATTCCAATCTAAAACATTTTGCTGCTGCTGATATAATCAGGAAGGTGCTGCTAAATACTGATTTAGAAGGTCATGTAATGAGTATAAGGAGACTATACTAGTATAGCAAAAGTTGCACTATTTATTTTTTTCCCCTTCAATACAAAGACCATTTACTTCTAAAAGATAAATATAGGTTGTATTTTCCTTAGTAGTATCTCTAATAAAAAGTATTCATGCGCATTTTGCACATATTTAAGAGTTTGTTTTATGAAGTATTTTATATAAGTCATACAAATGCAGGCACTGGGGCCTGTTGCTGGGGAAAAAATTAAAAATTTGTTAACTGCGATATTCTAAAAAGGGTTTAATAGTGATATCCTAAGGTAAGTAGTTCATAAGAGCATCCTAGACTATCAGACTTCTTCTGATTGCATAAACAATTTGGCACACGTTTGTTTCCTGCTTTTCGATGCATACCCCTTTTCCTTTTTTATTATTTCATTAAAACATAAGTAATAATGGTACAAAAATAAATAAAGATGAGGGCCATCCATGTGGATATATGTTGGTATAGAAAGTATCTGAGATTGCTTGTTGCTACTGTAATGATATCTGAACTATTAATCAGTTTCTTCACTACTTTGAGTGATTTGAAGTAAAAGAACCCTTCAAAATAGACATGTAGCATTACTAACAATAAAATCCATGTTGCCTTTATCCTGTTTGCGCTCTTTCTCTCCCCCCACCTCTCCACATATTGTGCATTAAATTATATCGCACATATATATATCACATCTATATTATTAATCACATATTCTGCAATTTGTGTTGTAATGTTCATTTTGTAAATTAAATGAAAAATCCTGTGTGTAGATAACAGCTCAAACTGATTATCAAGTCCCATAAGATATATGTATGTGTGAAGGGGTGGGTCCTCATTTAGCAACTGCCTTTGTTGTTGATTGTTTGGAGTTAGAACTACAATGAAAAAGTAACTTTATGACCAATCTTTGCATTTATGATCTTCACAGGTCTATAAAGCAAACGAGATCTGAAATAAGATTGTAAGCACGGTTGTGATTTCACTTACTGATCACTTCACTGAATGACCAACTTTTCTATCCCAATTTTGGTTACTAAACAAAGACTACATTTTACACACACACACACACACACACACACACACACACACACACGTATCTGGCGGATTAAGACTCACTGGTGCCCTAAGCACTGACATATCTTGGTGTCTCCCCTCCTTTGTACATCCTTTGTACATATGAAGCCAAGCTTAGTCTACATAAAAGTTTTTATGGGCCTAGTGCCCTAAGCATGTGCTTAGTCTGCTTAATGGTTAATACACCACTGACTGGTATATATAAAATGTCAGTGTATATAAACACGATTTGTTGACATTTTATAATTTAATGTATCCTTTATTATATATTTTTTCCAGTTGTGCCAGGTGTGATTCTTTGTTCAGAACTATGGTTTTAATTGTCTTAATTCGTTTTAATGGCTTTTTGCTGTTAGAAAAATTGGTTACGTACTTATATTTGTTGTTATAGTTAGCTGTATGAGCTAGCCCACACAGACATATAGTATGTGAGAATAGAGGCTATATAAATTGAACAAATAAAATAAAGAAAGCACAGCTCTGCACTAAATGGCCCACCTGCTAAATTGCATATCTCTATCTCTATCCATATCTATATCTATATCTCTATATCTGTCTGTCTGTCTGTCTGTCTGTCTGTCTATCTATCATCTATCTATCTATCACACACAGTCCAACCAACAGGTTCCTTATGTCCTTAACAATAGAGAAACAGACAATTTCTTTTTGTTTACCTCGTCCCTTTAGGTGACTGCATTTTGTGATGTGGATAAAAATAAAATCACTAAAGGATTTTACATATATGAAGAATCTAAGGTTGGTAATTTTCTTGGTTTAGCTATTATTATTTGTGAAATGCTTTTTATCATTATCATTGGAATTGAGGATGTATTAGGAGTTACATATTCCTTATGGAAAACATATTTCATTCAGAAATATAATTGCTATATAAATTGAAATTAAAGATGCAAATTCAGAGTATATTGTTAAATGCTATGTGGAATCCCCTTGTGTATTTATAACCTGTCCCTTTGGGTCCAAAATCTGGACCCAAATCAGGAAATACAGAAATATAGAACAGAGTAGAAGCTTGTTTTTGATCGAATAGTCATTCTCGATCCTAGAAACTCCAGAAGTGAGGCAGATTCAGAACATTTCTGGCTGTCAGATTCATTCTACACTATGTTTTATAGAGCATGTTTTTATACCCTATTTTTTATGTTTTATATTTTATGAATAGTTCATCTTTGTAATATAAAATTGGCTTGAGGTTAACAATTGGCTTAATTCAATTTACTGCATGGGTTCACCAAAAAACCCTGTGATTTTGGTATGGCATCAAATGAATTGACCATAGAAGGGTTTTGGCCACTAGCTGGCACTCTTTATTCTCCTTATAAATCACTGTCATCTTAAACATACATAAATAAAGCAGAAGAGAAAGGCGTTGTCAGAACAAATGAAAAACAAAACTTAAGTTTCCAAAGAAAACACCAAGTACTTGAAAATTTCATCCTGATGTTTTTTCTCACCCTCCCCAAAAAAGTATCTATGTGTTGGAATAAAATAGTGTACAATAGAATAGAATGGAATTGGGTATTGTAAATTTCTTCTACAATGCTAAAAAAAATTGTCAGTAAAAAAAAAATGATCCAGAGTTTAAAGGAGGAGTATAAAACTTTATGATCTTATTCAGAGGCCAAAACAACATTAAAGGAAACTGGGTTGTAATTTGATTTGAGAAATAATGTAGAGTGGAATGAAAGGAGTTCTATAAGAGGTATTTTGAAGCAAGGCAATTTCTCCTTGGAAGCCAGCCTCCCAACTTTAGGCAGTTAGGAGACAATATTACAGGAAGAGAAAGATTTCTTCCTTTCAATTGTCTTTTCTAGAGTCAAAATGGGGGAAAGGATTACCTTCTGAGTCCAGGCCATGCATTGATCAAATTTAGTATTTTTGCAAATGCATACCCCACAATGGAATTTCCAAAACTAGGTATTTTGCAACGGAATAATGATGCAAAAGCCACGAGTGGAAAAAAGGAGATTTGGTTAACCACATACTAACAAGGAAGCAGTATAAAGGAAAACTGGAAACCACAGAACTATTTCAGAAATTATGCTTTTCACTGTAATAAACTCAAAGGAACACCTATCGTATAGCAAACTGACCAGGAAATGTACTGATCTCTGTTCAGGAAACTTCCAAACCCAGAATTCCAATTCTTCATTTCAAAGAAGCTTCCCCACCTTTAATTATTTGTGTGAAATTGGTAAGTATAATTTTGAGTCAAATATGTGAAACCTACCATTTTTGCCATAGTACAAAAGTATATTTTAAATGATTATTGTGATCATGCCTTTCCTTATCCAAAATTGGAACAAGGAAAGGACCAAAATATGGACTGATTTGGGGATGGCCACACATACACTGTTCTTCTTGGTGAGCCTTAAGCTAGAATTGTGCTCACTGAAGTCAAAGCACACAGTTTTAATGTTTGTAATTGCGTAATCATTTATTAAAAAAACCTGCATCTATTATTGTGTATTAAGAATTCTGATCATTAATTATATATTTTCAAGGTAGTTTTAAGGTATGGTGAATATAAGAATATGTATCTTCATTTGCAAATTTCAGGAACAAGTTTTATTTTAACTTGTTTTGTTGAGGCTGTTAAATATGGTTTTTTAGGTGTGTGGGTATGAATTTCTGCTTACATATTTATGCTAAGTGTATGCAGTCTGTCACTGCCACAGAACAATCACCCTTATGAAAATGCAGGCTCACGGTGATAGTCTGAAGGAGATGATACCATCTTGGATGACCTAAAGCCAAGCCAGATTGCAAGAGCAGCTCACTAAATTGTAAAATCTAAAATTGGAGTGAGTCATGACTTTGAGGAGTTTGACTGCCTTGTTTGGCTACTCTGCAAAATCCATCACCCCTTTCAGGAATCATTGACCTATCCAAGAAGATATGTCCGGAAGCAGGAGATGGGCTTTCTTCAGCTAATATCGTTGGAAGGCTTGGCTATTTGCTTTGGAAACACTTTAAACCTTTGGGCAGACCAACCACCAACTGTGCAGCACACCTTCCCTCCTGAAAGTTAGCTTGTTTTGGCATTCTCTTAAAAGTTCTACTGGTAAGACAAAATAACTGCTCAGTGTGTTCCTTACTGGGTATTTCAATAAAAACATACAACACATGCTGAAAAAGGTATCAGCTAGTTAAGCAAAGAATGTTGCTGTCCACATTTCATTGTTTAGGTTTCTGTAAAGCCTTGAGAAGAAAAGAAATCATTTGCAGTTGACAGTTCTTAATCTGGTGTAACTTGGCCCAACCACTGAGTTTTAATATCCTTTGTATTTGCTTGTATTTAGGAAGAGAAATATACACTTCCTGACCAACCATTGTATTCAGTTCTTTATCCATGCGGTTGAATATATTTTATAGATTGCTATTAATACCACTTCCTTTGAAAGAAGTCACTGGAGGCTAACTGTGTTTTAAAACATTTGCATTAACAAATGAACTGATAGGTGACATACATTTTTACCGCCAAAGTCTTTCAGTTAAACAGAGGTCATTTTGGCTTCTTAACTGACTGTTTTTATAGTATCATTTTCTCTCTTCCTTTACAGTTACAAGCTTTTCTAGCAAGAATTAGAAATCCCCGGTTCAAAGCTTTAGTGCAATTATGAGTTTTCTCTTAGCTTTAGCTCACCATCTCTAATAATAATGGCTTTCCATGGGGAGTGCTATCAAGATTACTGAGAGGGTACAGTTGATGTGTTTTGAACACTTTGAAAAACCTGCATAAATACTAAATGTTATGTGTGCTTTGCTGTTCATACACAAAAGCAATAGGGTCTTTGTTCTCGCTAATCTGAATGATGTATGCTTTGAGACTAATGCTGCTGCAAACATGAATTACTTGTGCTCTGAAATTAAAAGCTCAAAATAAATGCTGAAGTTGAGAATGATGTCACCTGATTTACTTGCTGATGAAGTATAGATGTGAGAGTTATGTTATCATAACCTTATATGGCAAAAGAGAGGCAAGTAGACACAAGGTTCCTCTTCATACAGTAAACTGGAGGATCACCTTTAACCAGAGTTAATAGTCCAACTGCTTGTTGAAAGGCTTCTTTCAATGAAGAAGCCATTCATTATGCAAAATCCATCAGACTAATATGCTAAGCTGTCACCGCTATTATACTGGCTAAGCTGCTTGGGAAAAAAAAATGCAGTTCCTGTGATTAAAAACAATGTGTTATAACAGGGTTTTTAGGCTTTTTCTTCAAGGAGGTCAGTGTTTCACATATATTGCTAAATAGCAAAATATCAGTTGGCTGTTACTAGTGGTTGCTAGAGTGAGTTTAGGTTTTTAGCTTGCCACCTATGTGCATCATTTCTAGGATCAAATTCTCCATCTATTCCTTTTAGTTCCTATGCACAAATCCTGCTCCGATGGTTCATTCTTCCCTGCCTCGCTTCCTAGACCATTTCTCTACACCAAGTCTGTATCCAGGCATGTCCAACCAAAGACTCTCCTGAGTCCAAGTCTCAGGCTTCACTGTGTAAGACAGTCTTATACTCAGCAGGTTGGAAGGAAATCAAAAGACACTTATGTCATCTGAGACATTCAGTGGTCAGTAGGCTCTCCTTTGAAGCCTTTAGCACCTTCTCCCCTTGGACATCGCCCTCTTTAATGAACATTCTTTGTTTCCCAGTGAGGATGAAGAGCCAAGGCCAAGTCTAGCTGTGAGAAACCGAGGGAATTGTTTTGCAAATGCTGTGAAACATTAAGGTTGCTAATACTTAAAAAAAAAACACCCTCAAGTCTGATCAGTTTTGAGTTAGCACAGTCTATGCTTTGTATTATTTTAAACTTCATCTGACAATTTCTAAAGGCTCTCTCCTGAATGCTTTAATTGTTGTTTTAACCATTCAGTCATGTCCGGCTTGTGGAAACTTTATAGGCAAGTGCTCTCCATGTTACCCGGTCAAGCACAACTTCTTTCAAGTGCATTGAATTGAGTAGTAGAATGAAATCATAGATGATTATAATAAGAAAATAGCTGGAGTGGACCTCTTTTTTCTTTTGCCCATATAAGAAACAACCTGTGTGGAAAGAGTTTAGTAAGCTTTGAAGACTGCATCATTGTGTCACCCTTGCTTTTTTTTCTTTGTGTTCCTACCAGTAACAAGATCAGAAGGGCAGCATAAGTTCCCTAATCTGACATTTGCTAAGTGGAGGGGGACTCATGGCTGAATACTAGAATAGCATTTCCCAAAAATATTCTAACCAAAGTATTGCTTAATTGGTTTCCCAGTTACTGACCAAAAAGCATCAGAAACAATGTTTTGTGGTGTCCTTGGGGTTTGTGCTTGGTTGTTTTCTTGCAGATATTTCACTATCCAACTAGGTACTGATAATGTTACCTGCTTGGGTAATGAAACATTTCCAAGAAAACAACCAAACTCAGAGAGCACCAAGGACCCTTCTTTTCAACCCTGAAATACAAATATTTGCTTGTATCGGCACTCTTCTTTTGTTTTTGACAGAATCTGTTATCTGAGTTGCTTGGTTATTGACCAGAGATGTCATTAGATTTTCTCTAGCTGCTCTCTTTCTTTTCTAAAAGTATCTTTGGTAGAGGGCCCCCTTTTTGATATTATGACCATAAGTCATAAGGTAATATACCAATGTTCGTTCAGTTATTATTTATATCCCCTAACTCTTAATTATAAAAGTTGGCAAAAGCCTCCAGAGAGTTTGGCTTTCTGTAGAGATCTCAAATCCAAAGAGTGTTCAGAAGTCCATCTGCTATTTTGGGGGTTCACAGCAAAGCTCTCTTCATGTTGATTCAATAAAACCCTTCTTGGAATTTCACTCTGTGAGCCATATATCTCTGAATTTTAAAAAAACTCGAGTGGTTCCTATCTGGCCATGGGTGGCAACACAAGTCAGAAAGTGGAATAAATTCCCCCACCAGTGTGGTGACTGGTCTTTATACACCTATGCCAGACTGGATGTGCGTGTTACCTAACTTCTAAAAGAAAAAGAATTATCTGGGGGGAAAAAACAGGCCTATTTGGAAGATGCAATCCAAAGGATGAATTCTCTTGTGCTTAGACTAAGATATAACAGTTGTCTTAAATCAGAAGAGAGGTGGCAAGTGTATCTCCTACAGCAAGTAACAAATGGGTTTTGACAGCCTGTCTGAGCCAGGCTGTTACAGCTATTTGAGGCATTTGACTGCAATAAATCACTGTCACAGTCATCAGTTTTTCTGTAGAGCTCTTCCTTGCTAAAAATCAAGGACATTGTAATCTTCAGTCTACCTGCTGCTTTCTTTATTGTTAAGATTATGATGCCCCTTGAATGTATAATGTGTTCCCTAAGGGCTGGGAGAAGCTAAAAGCATTAGCAATGCTAGTTGACTGTTCTGCACAGATGGGGGCATCCTGAGTCATCCAGGAAAAGGGAAATTTGTAAATTTAGACTCATTGTGCCACCATGACCAAAAACAGGTGAGAACTTAGAATCTGCTATGCTCTGTATTGAGTCTAAATTTACAAAATAATAAATAAAATAAACACCACCACCCCAATTAACTTTTCACTACTGTCAAAGAAAACCCAATCACAGAATGAAGGAAAAATTACTTTTGCTCTGGCAAGAATCAGCAGAAATAAGAAGCCTGCAACTTCTAGAGATCCTTTTGTATAGGGTAAGGTAATCAGAATTAACAACGAAGTTGATCTGTGCTCCTGGCCATAACCCCATAATGATACATTGGCACTAGTGCTAACCCTGACTTCTAGGGCTGAATGTGAAAAATATCATAGAATGTAGACTTTACATATGAGATATTGCTTACATACACATATTCTGTATGAATGAGCTGAATAGGAACCTATATGTTTGGGTTAGGCCACAGCTATTTTCCACTACATGTAATGTATGAATAAGTCATTATCGGACTCTAGAATTGATTCTTAGAAACATGTATCTATCCACTAGCACGGGGTGTCAAACTGGCAGCCCGTGGGCCGGATGCGTCATGTCCCAGCTCCGTGAAGGGAAAAAAACATCATGTCATGTGATGGCAATGTGGCGCGGCATCAGTGCACTAGCAGTAAAAAAGGAAGGACTGGATCTCTGGTGCCCCAGGTTGGATTTATGTAACATTCTAAGCTACCAAAACAATTCCTAATCAAGATTAAAACTAATGAAGTTTCACTAGTAAAATGCTGCCATTTTTAACCAACCCAATTATCTATTCAGTAAAAAACAGGCAAAAAGAAGTTTAGGACCGAAAAAGAAGTAGAGAAAGATCAGTGAGCAACTATTGTGTTTTGCTAGGATGGCATAATAAAATACTGTATATTATGATATTCAGGAATTTCTGCTGTAGGATAACTTGGGATTCAGTTACAGAATCTAAACACGGCTTATTCTTGTATTTACAATAGGTACTGTGATTGCAGACGTATTCAGATGTATGATGTGTCTTGGTGAAACATTTTTGACTGATCTTTCTCTTCATTTCTGCAGGATCTCACAGATGGACAGTTTGAGGAAAATTTGAGCCTATTGAATTTGAAGGAAGGTGTGGATTACTATCATTTTAATTGATGAGTGTGGTTTATTGGCAAGCTTTTTATCATGAAACATACTAGAGGAGATACAATATTATTTTAGTCAGGATTATTTTTCTCCATCATTTCTCTCAAAAGAAATATAAATGCATGCAAATGTTAAAATATCTCAATCAATTAGCGGTAGCACAAGATTAAGCTAGTGAGTTAAGAGTCAGCTCCACAGCAGGGAAATGGCAGATAGGGCTGTATGAATGTAGCCAATTCACTTAAGAAAACTCTTTCCAGAATTGAATTCAGAAGGTGACAACAGCAAATCTTTTCAGTATTCCAAGAAATCCATATTGATGTGACTGTAATATTTTGAAAAGATTTGATGCCACTGGATGAGGTGTGGAAGGCACATCTTTAGTTACTGGGAAAAACTTCCTGTTTGCACATATGGATTAAGAGGTGAAAATGGTGGAAGACCTACATAATTATAAGATGCAAATCAACATGGAGACAAATCTAACTAATGGTACCTACTTTTATCTTTTTCTTATTGGTGTCTGGAGTAGTCAGTCCATCATTTTTTTGGCAACTCAACTTCTCAAAATGATGCAGAAGAATTTCAGTTACAATGTAGTAGAATGTAATTTTCAAATTAAAAACTATGTGTGCATGATGCTTAATATAGCCTGCAAAATAATGTTCCTCTTCAAATATATCCAGCATCTGTCTTGCCATTACTTAACATCATGTCTTGACAATATCCACCATATCCCTTGTGTAATGAATATGTTTATGAGATGGCACCACAGGCAGACACAGAATTTTTAGGTTTGGGATTATTATTTTTAGAAAGCCTTTACAAATCAAGCAGTGTTATCTCTTCTTTTCTAGAAATTATATTACTATTTTGTTTTTAAATTTGGTCTTCTACTTCATACGCAATTCTCTGTTTGTACTGTAAGCAAACCTTTTTGCTATTGTGGCTTTTTGAAACTCCAGGGCTGCACTTAACCGTCCCAATTTCTCTCCCACAGTCACAAAGTAGTCATGACTGTCCTTGGAAAGTTGCAGTTTCCTCCCTGTGGCTGCTACTCTTACCTACTTTCTAGTTCTACTTCATGGTCACAACTTTAAGCTTCTGAAAGGCCCAGATCTCAGCTCATTGTATTTGCCCACCCTAAATTGCTTCCAGAGTCCTGCCTCCATCCCAATCTGTCTTCCCTCTTGGGCTCCACTGAAGTTACCTTGTTCAACTAGTGCCCCTTTGAAAAAGATCTAACATTGCCCTTATGTTGTTTCTTTTTTAAAAGGGCCAGCTTGCTGAGAAAAATAGGGGACATCTTAAAAGAGAAATGAGGGGGGAACATAGGCCTTCCCTTATTCCACTGGCCCCACAAGAAAGGAAGATTCTTTTAAAAGAAGCTTTCTCCTCCCTGCTGCTAAATGGCACAGGCCTACTTTCAAAAACCAGACCTTTTTAGTGTGCAATGGAACATCTGACCCAGAACGTACCTCAGCTTTGATAGGAAAAGGAGACGGCTCCTCTTTTCATAGCATCAGATCCAGCTGCAATTCTCTCGCTTTGTAACTCAAGGTATGGACAATATGAAAGAATTGTTTCAACTTTAGCCCCAGTCAATGCTTTCTATGTTGGAAACATCTAATTCTCTTCGCAGCATTTTTGAGAGCAAAATGAACCCCTATACATTTCATATAGTAATTTAACAATCTTCACTGCCAGGAATAATTGGACTTTTCCTCATACACAGTCTGCAATGCTTTGTGATGCCAGTAATTCATATGAAGGGATTAAAAAGCTCCATGTTATGATATCCTGAGGCAGGTCTAAAAGTTCAGCATGAGATAAAGAAGGTTTACTTTCAGAATATAGTTTATATCAAGCGGTTTGAAACCCATATCCATGGTGATCAGGAAATTAACTAGTCACAAGATACTCTTCCAAAGAGGTGAGACCAGCTGTAGTAACATGAATAACTTTTATTTATGCTTCCTGTCCATCAGATGTTTATTGTTATGAACATCTAAAAAACATTAAATGCTTGTCTTAACTAAAATTAAATTCCTACAGAAGAAAAAAAATCTTGTTGACTTTTACACTAATTTATTTTGTGTCTTTACAATATTTTTTCATTTGTACAGAGACATATGAAAAGAGAAAATACTTATGTCAATAACTTTAACAATATTTTTACTAGAGTTTGAGAAATAATTAAAAAAAGATGGCATGTAAATATGTGAGAGCATATTTTATCTTTAACCTTTAAAATAGCCAATTCTTTCCTGGAATTGCTGCTCTCTTCCATTGGTACGTGATTCTAAGGTCAGAACTGCTTTAAAAGGTTATGCACAGTTTTTACATTCATTGGGTAAAGTACATTTTGAGAATCAAATCCAACAAGCTGCATGTTCCTACTATTTGTATCTGATTTTCTACTCACAGTAAGAAAAAACAAAAACAAATGTCCAGCCTTTCAAATCCAATTTTAATTTTGCCAATTAAAGTTGCTTGCATTATTTCAGCTAGTATTTCCTTGTATATTTCTTTTTAGCATCAGAAATATTTCAATACATATTTTTTTAAAAAAGTCAATATCCAAAAAGTCAGGATACTGTATCAAGTTTGAATGATAAATTTTATTTCTGTTTAGAAAGGTGACAAATTTTCAGCTGGAATTAAACAATGTATCAGGGATGAAATCCTACCTATTTTATGTTCTTCTCAAATGGCAACAATGCCCGCAGACTTCATTTACCAATCAAAGTTGCTTGCATTATTTCAGCTAGTATTTCAGCTATATATCATATGATTGATATGTCAACTGGATAATTTATTCTCAAATGTCTTTTCTAAAGAATGAAGCGTCTATACTCTTCTGCAGATAGCTTCTGAAATAGTAGATTGGGGCTATTTATATAATACATAATGTATTTGACAAGATAACTTTGTAATGAAAATTGGAATGCTGTAATTTAATAAAGCCAAAAACAGAGAGAGAATATGCAAGAAACTCCAGTTATTTGAACTTTTCAAAACAATTTAATTTCCAGAAACACAAAATCACCAACATATATATTATCTTTTAAAATCAAAAGATAAAGGATAAAGGATTAAAAAAAGTACAACTTTCAAAATTAGTTTCTCATTTTTTAGCCTTTTCTTTTTAGCTTGATCAGTAAATACTTTTTCCCAAGTTGTTGAAAAAGTGCCTGCTCCTTTGCGTCTATGGATTCAAAGCACTGTAATTTTCAATATTTATTGATTTCCAATTATGTGCTCTGCAGGAAAGAAGAGGAAAATGGGATTAATTTCATGACATTGTCAAGAGTACATTTCAAAACAAATAAAAGTAACTCTTATTCGTAAGATTCACAGAATATTGTAATTAATCTGTTAGTAACAGCTTTAAAATGTCAAACTACAACTAAAGTTTCCTTCAGGCATTGTCCAATCCATAGTTTAGAACAACCTCCTTATATTGACTTTTGTTACTGAGTAGTGCACTGTGTTTAAATTTGTGTTAATGAATGCAGTGTAGCCAACAGCAGTTTGTGTATTCAGAAATTCATTTAATTGCTTAATGGCTTATTTACAAACTGCTCAATATTTAAACCAATTATCCTGACATTTTTCTCCATTGTTATTGAATAGAAATGGTATTCATAAGTATATATTGATACAACTATATATTCCAAAAGGTGAAAAAAAATCATTTCCAATGCTTTCTCTTTTCTCCCCTGCAAGGATCCACATTTCCTTGTGAAATTTGAGCCTTCCAAGCTTTCAAATATCCCTTCTGAAAAACAGAGTAATAGGAAATCAATCAATCAAACTGCTGTGAAAATTTTTCTAATTTGTGGAGAATGAAATCTCTAGCTAGAGCACAAAGGCATAGAGATGTATCTGTCACTCTTAGATCAGAAAGCCAGAAAAGTTTTCCAGATCTTTTGATTCCAAACACATAGTACAGATTCAGGACTAAATATTTATGTGCCAGTAAACCTTACAAGGTTTATTTTCATTATTACTATATTGTCATTCAGCAAGGAACGAAAAAACAGACAAGTTATGACATTCATAAATGCCAGCAAACAGAATAATACCTGAAACTACCATTTCTAGTTCTACCTCAGAGCCCAGCATAGGCACCAACTTACTACTACATGCTTCCTCTGCTTGAATATAGATGTGCTTATTCAAAGTCAAAACATTAACATTAATAATTTCATTTAACAAGATGATTTATATGTGGATATCTCCCTAAACTAATCAGAACACAAACACAAATACAAATTAAGAGGCAGGATAAATAGTTTTATGGAATAGCTTCATTCTTTAGTTCAATAGAAAACCTGTTTGACTTTTTAAAAGGATGTTTCAGTAATTGCCTAAATGCTTTCATATTGTTTTTCACAACACAGAGAAGATGTAGACTAGGCAGGTGTAGCAACCTTAGTCATATTCCTACCTACATGCAGCATTCCCTGCTAACAGTTAGTATAATACTGATAACTTTTAGCACATTTCAATCATTACGTTAAAGCACGAACAAAGCTTAGTTTTACTCCAAGCGTATTAACACGCTTCTATACAAATCAGGTTCTCTAGCCAGACCAGCTTCAAACCATTACATTGCTGCCAGCATCCTACCAGTATAGAATTACTTCAGCGAATTGTACCTTGAAAGAGTCACTAAACGAAGGGTTTTAAGTCAAGGACTACTTATAGTAGGTATTATGTAAAACTGACATTCTGATCACTGCATTGCAGTAAGCATACTTTTGTAACCAGCTGTACTACTACAGGTCATGCTCACTGTCTAACAACTCAACATGAGAAATGTGAAGACTTTTCAAGTAACAGAATAGGGGACAATGATAAAATACTTGTTTTCGATAGTCCTGCATATGCATGTGTTAGGTAGGTCTGGGGTTTGTGTCAGCAAACTTGAGTTTCACCAAACTGTTTCCCAGAAATATTTATCAGGGTTTCATTGGTATTTCAAAACATTACCTTCACTACTAATTGGGGCTTGGGCACTTTCATTAAGTCACAGAGGTAATTTCGCTGCTTCCGTAGAAATGGCAAGTCTGCATCCCTGTTTGGAGACAAAAAAAAAAGTATATATAAGCAACCAATTCCTCTGCTCTCCATGGCTTCTAGCATCACATCCATTTTCCTCAGTGCATCTGTCAATTAATTGTAATTGCTATTGACAGTAAAAAAAAAAAAATGATATGGTATATCCCCAGAATTGCAGAGGAAAGGAAGATCTTCTTTTAAAGGGCAAATTTCTGTTCTCTCAACCTCCTGAATAGCATTCACTGGATTTTGGCCAATGCCGCTTTCTAGAACATATAGGCAGAACCAACTAGTTTCATCCCATAAGAGAAGCAAGAACAAGTTTGCAAGTTCTGCGAATCGGAAGAGAATAAACAAGTCAAAATGTATACACAAACTGACACAAATGGGTGCAGGAGGTGAAGGGAGAGAAATTCCATTTGAAAACATTCAGACACCAGTAATTGCCGTGATGGAGTAAAAGACCTTGAATTGGCACCAAATTACAAAACTACTTAGAGAAGTTGAAGAATCAGATGAACTATAGTTAAAAATGGAGCTCGATGTAGATTACAGTCTTTGTTGGTTTAGTTTATAAACTGATCTGATACATGTCCTTATATCCTAACACGTACGTCCTATTCCATGTGCAAGAATACGTGTGGAATAAAAAGCAACAAAACTTGTGTTTCTTTTTCTGTTTCTCCCATTGTCTTCACCACTCATTTGGATCTTTAATCTTAATCTACATCAGATTTATATCCACTTGACACAGTACTCTTATTGTAACAGCTGGGGAAATGATGTGAAATCTGTTTCATTGGATATGATAATTCTGTTATTTTCTAGTCAGAGGATATAATGTGGCTGCCTCTTTTAATGATGCTGGGAGAAGGCCAAAGAAATCAACTCATTTTTTAAAATTATTGGGGGAGCTTCTGAAGGATTAAAGGGTCTTCACATTTTGTCTGGAATCCTGAGTTCACATCTCAATTTCTGAGCCAGTGAGATGGCAGGGAAGATTCTGGAACTAAATTGGATGATAAAAGTTATGAAAAAAGCAGTGTTTTAAAATCCTCTTTTACCAGCCTTATATATGGATTGAGCTCCTGGCAATTCGATACATCGAAGTGGTGCTCTGGAAACAATCACTCACATGAAAATTACTCACGCCCAGCTATGAAATCCATGAAGAGCTATCATCCCCAAACTTTAAAAATCTGTCATCTGCCTTCCCACCCGCAAATAGGGTCTCTTTTCAATAGGAAAAGAAACTAACCTCACTTACCCTTAACATTTCCATGACTTACTTTCCATTTGTGAGGAAAAACTCTACATTAAACAGTTATGGCTTCATCTATAAGAGTGTCTTATTAAATGAAATTTATTAGTTTTTGAGACATGCAGCATTTTTATTTCCTGAAGAGGGACTATGCATCCTGCGCTTGATATATGACCTTACATATCAACAGTAAAATAAATGCCAAGACAACCTAGGAAGAATCAGCTAGTGTAATGTTAGTCTCAGCTGCCTACTACAATAAATAAATGTAGATAAGCAAGTAAGTAAGTAAGTAAGTAAGTAAGTAAGTAAAATAGCTTTGTTCTCAATTATATACTATACTATTGTACAGAGTACTATAAGCTGCTTCAGGTATCAGCTACATTTCAAAGAGAGGCTTACAAACAAGTCCTGTCTCAATTCATTGTTTCATGTTTGTCACAAAGTTTGGATCACACAAAACTTTGCAAATCCCCAATGTGTAATATATGTCCTGTATATTCTTAAATGCTATATACGCTGAAAGGTAACTGAAACTTACAAGTACACTTAAGATTAACTCACCAATTAGTGTCACTCAGAATTGTCATGGCATTTTCTAAAACGTCAGGTTCGGCAATATCACTGTAGGTTATCAGCATCTCATAAACCTGACTAGCAGTTGTTTTTCTTATCTGGAGAGTAAAAACAGAAATGGCTCAAATGAAGGTGGTTGCCTTTGGGGGATGAAAGAGTGGGTAAAAGAGAGGACAGTATTTATAGCCTACATCAAAAAAAAAAAAACAACCCACAATAAGCCAAGGCCTAAAGTGAGCCATTTCCATTAGCCAAGAGCTTTTAATGAATTTACTCCTTAATCCCTCCCTCACTGCCCACTTCCCTGAGAGGGAGAGTCTACTTGTCGAAAACACAAAAATTACTCTTCATTTGGGAGAGTTATTAAAGGTGTTATACAAGTAGGTCTATGAAAGATCCGTGCTATCAACAGTTTCTAATCATATGGCTACCTCCAGCATTAAAGGCAATACTCTAAATATCAATTATTGAAAAATACAATTGGGACGGTTTTATGTAGCACTTGGGTTATCCGCTATGGGTAAAAAGTATTAGTTACACAGGCCTTTGGTGAGATTCAACAAAGTTCTTACATGGGTGGAGGGGGGACTAGCTCATAACAGCCGGAGCTTTTTTGTTGTTGCTGTTCCTGTAAGCCATATATTAGGGAAAGAATTTAATGTATTCCTTGCTGTCACCATATCACACTGGGAGTAACTTGGTGTTGTACATATGCAGTATGGAGCCAACTAGGGCAGAAGTAAGCCAATAGTTGCCTAGGTAAGTTTTCAAAAAAAAAACACACATTCTTTAATATAAATAATTTAAAAAAATCTCAACCACTTCTGAAGTACTTACAACAGGAAATGGATGGCAAAGAAGGAGGAAGAGCTGAAACAGAACTTTTTTTCTCATGTCACCTGGAAATTGAACCAAGCCACAAAACCTAGAACAATAAATATTTAACATTATATTTTATCACTGATCTAACAAAGCATGTCAAAAAACACTCTGCTGTATTGTACCAGTATCACAATTTTTTTTCTATATGAAAACTCAAAAAAAACACAAACTTCAATATGTGCTAATTACAAAAGTTTAAAAATGGCAAGAATCTATTTTTAAATCACAAAATAAAAAGTATCAAAACTGAATGACAGATAATGTTCCAAAACAAACTTTTTATAAACCTTGCGTGCTCTTTAAGCTCTTACTGCAAATGGTAAGAGGGAATCACACATTGAATTCAGACAAACAACATTGAATATAAAAAAACTACCATGTAATTAAAAAACCAAATTAATATATTTATTAAAAAGAAAGCATTTTTTTCTTTTGAGTAATTTTGTGACATGGAAGAAATAAAAATTAGAAAACTTCTTGTTAAAGCAAATATATCAGTACCAGAAATTTTTCAAAAAATTCCAGCCAAGTATTGAAGTGACTAGCATTTTTGTTTTGCTGATATTAAACTGAGGAGACTAACTGTACTAAGAACTTCAGTACTATTCTGTGACACTGAAACACAGAGGCAATAAAGATGCATATCTTATCAATGTAAGCATTGGGCAATGCAATTCAAAGTCATAAATCTGATAAATTATGGTTTGGATTAGGTACAGGACAGAAGCTCCCTTGGCAAGGATAGTAAATCTGCTCTGGGAGCAGATAAACAAGTGCAGCAAAAAGTCTCAACTACTGCAATTCCAAGACTGAGATTTGGTTGGATCTACTGTTTCTAAAACCCAATTCTAATCTTCTATTTGACATAACCCTTAACTACAGAAGCATAATGCAGGAGTGACTGGGGATAGGTGGGAAGTTTCTTCAGTTTTTCCCTCCCAAACTTGCAAAGCTGTGATCAACTGAGAAAGACTGACATTTTAGAACAAGCCATATAAAAAATGTTGGGGAATTCCTGGAAGGTTGCCGTGCTGACAAATCAGTCATCAAGAGATGAGAGAAAACTGATCTACAAGCCAGTGAAAAAAAAGATAAAATCAGAATTCAAGGAAGGAAACAAACAGCCCAGAGCAGCCAACTTCCATATAAATAGGAAGTAGCACTAGATAAACAATCGGGGAAGAAATAATGCCCTAATGAAGAAACCATAAAGGAAGAAGACACATTACCATCGGCAGGGCAAGCTACTATATCTCAACAGCCAGCAAATCTCACACTCCCTTGGACTGAGTATGTATGTAGGATGTAATGAAATGTCTTCAGGAAAAAAAACCTCAGAGAGCACCAAGAACTTAACAGTTCAACCCTGAGTTTCAGATATTTGATATTCAGATATTATGATATATTGTCTAATAGTTTCATTTAATTGATATAAAATGATTGATACCAAAAAATGGTCTATGCTTGAAAATTCTGATACCAAACTACCATAGGACAGGAGAAACATTTGTTTCAAGCTATGAAAGAAACTACAATTTGATTATAATAGTTTTTTTTGGATTTAGAAAATAAAACAGAGTATTAAATATCCTGAAATGTGCATTGAAAACCGTATCCTGACCTCCCAAATGTATCCATTTTAGGGGATGTTCTTCCCAAAAATGAAGATTTCTATATCGGTTTGCTTGTTAGTGTGGAGAACAATGCTTGGAATATATGATAGGGAGGGGCTTGAGAGGAGGGGGGATATGGTATAATGTTTGGCTCTTTCAATTTTCAACCTTTATTTTTTTTTTAAAAAAAGGCAAAAAATAAAAAAATGTTTCACTTCTTAAAGTTCGGTTACCTGTAGTTTCATTTACAAAAAAAATCCAATAAACACACATTAAAGTAATTTTAAATAATAGTTCTTTTTATTATTTGAACTCTTTAAATTTGATATGCCAAACTAGAGCTGCCCCCTTTCCCCAGACACAAATCCAGATAAAAACCAATGTGAAGAGAATGGTGAAAAGTAATGAACAGCTGGTGATGAAATTGACCAGAGTTGACTGTTCTTCTCCCCCAGTTCTGTCTGGTATGAATTGTCATGGTTTTTAAAATGACAAATCATCCACCACTTTTTTATTTTTTTACCACCAATCAGATTTGAATTGCCTTAGAATTGCTTTTAGACTTACATTGTTAGCTACAGTTGCTTTTGAACTAGAATTTATATACACAGCTGCCCAAAATTCACTGCCAAGACCACTTTTATAGAGCATACAAATGAAACCTTTGCGTACATGACAGGGCTAAATAAAACTCATTTTCCACGTGTCTTTCTTTTTAAAACCACATGGACTGGCTACAGACCATTAATTTTTCATCCTTCAGGATTTTTTACATATTTTCCCAACTTACACAGCAATGCTGGAACGGAGTTTCTGGATATCTTTAGATCTCTTGCTTTCTTCTTTACAAAGACTGAGCAACTTCATAGGAAACGGGTGGCTTAAAAAATTAAGAAAACAATTTTTAGCTATTTTTTTCAAAGATGAACAAAGTATCTTGAGAGTTGTGACATTATATATCCTTATATGGTTATATGTTAGCAGTTAAACTAACAAACTATATCAATGTTGCCATAAAAAGGCTTCTCTTAATTAATAGATTTGAAATAGAAATCATTTTTGCATTCTTCTCTTCCAACAGATTTTAATTGTTAATATTTCAAAAATAATTTTTTGATTTTTTTTTGATTCACATTCTGTTTAGCTGTATTGATCAGACAGAGCAGAAAGGCAAGGGACAACGGCATATAAATATTCCCAAAAGCTTAGTTTTTACCCATCAAAAATTGATGTTACATAATTATTTTTGCTGCATATTCCGTTGTGAAAGCTTGCTTACAATCTCCACATTTAAGCAAACGTGTTTACTCACTAATTTGTTCAAAAATTGCAAAGGGTCTTTTTGAAGGTTACACAGAATTTAGTGGAGATTTATTCACTTCATTGAAATACAATGGCAAAATAGGGGAAAAGGTGAGATTTAGAAAGGCAATGACAATGTAGGCCGCTCTAGTTGAGCATCTGGAAAAGATTTAATGCATGTATTCTTATGAATAAGGCTCCACATTCGAAATAGACCTACTTGGCTTACTTTCTGTCATCTGTTAATTTCACACTTGTAATAAGGAACCAGTAAATGAATTCAAACAGATCAGCCTGCAAAGGAAGTAACAAAATCCTGCTCCTGTGCAGGCAATTCTTCAGGAGAAAGAAAATCAGCATCTAGGGAAAAGGGATCTGTCCAGAGGTTTTATATGATGCAAATTGGGCGCATGTGTTTCTGAAAATTGAGCTTTTCAAAAAAGAGAGCTACATTTTAACCATATCATGACAAATTAATTAAGAAAAACAAGGTAGCCCTTAAATCAAGAGCAAGACATGAAGTGCCCTCCAGCTGCCAGTCTTCAAAAGTACAAAACTCCTGCTGTTAATCACTTACCTATGTGTAAAAATCTGAGCTGGTGCTCAAAAGGAATACTTCTGTTGATGACCTACTAGACTAAGCAGCCCATGTGATCATTTTCCATGTAAAGAAAACCAACTATTTTTTTAAACGGGACACTGCACATAAATTGCATTGATAAAATACAACAGTGATTTGCTTCAATGTACAGTATGCCTCAAATAATCAATCCTGCTCTTTTGAAGAGAATCATGCCTAGTTGTTATATAAATCCCCCCCCCCAAAAAAAAAACCCTATGTATGTTACTTTAAGGTTTTTATCATATAACAGGCAAGAAATATAAAATTTATCCTGGCATTTTGGTAAGGGCTACAATAGTCAAATTTGTATATAACCTCTTCCAACTGATTCCACGTGGGAAGAGTACCTTGAGTGCTTGGCACATAGTTGTACTGGCCCTCCAGAAGCTCTGAAGGGAGCGGATAAAAATTGATTTTAGCAAATGTTCCATTTATAACTTTGATTGATAAGTGAACATAGCAAATGACTTAAATTAGCTCTTATGGAAAATAAGAGATTTGTGGCTTGACTTAATTCATGCTAAAACTCTCCTTCTTGGTCATCTATCTTAGCTTTGATGAAGAAACTCAAAGCAGCATTTGGGTTGGAAATGGGCCCACCTCCTTAAAAAAGATTGATAGCTCTTATCCCTTGGGGAATCACATTTAACTTTTCAAAACAAAATACTTCTCCAAATTATTCTTTTGTTAAGATATAGTAAAAATAATCTAGACTCTAATTTTTTTCTGTTATTATAAATTAGAGGAATGGAACATTGCTCTTTGAAGATTTTCCAGCAATTCGGAAGAAAGAAGATACATCTATTTATTTTGCCACTTACTTTTCTTCAGTTATAAATACATCAAAGCATCCATTGGCCAATATCTGATCCAACATCTTTAGCAGTGGAACAGATACTCTAATGAGGAAAGCATAGAATACTATGTTTATACACTTCACATTGACACAATTCACATATAATAAACATTTTATATATGTGCTCTAAAGTCAGATGATCAAATCTAAACTGAGTCCAAATAATCGAGTTAATATGACATCTTATATTCTGAACAAGCAAGATGCCAAACATATATAATCCACTAACAAATTCCTGATGTCTTTAAGGTTTATAAAGAATGGTTTTAACAACTGGGAACATTTCAGAAAAACAAATTTTGACTGAATATATTAGAGGGAAAAAAACTCCTAGCAATAAGGAGTTTAACATGAAATCGCCTACTTAGATAATTAGTCTAAATACCTCCTTTTACTCTGATTCCATATTTCTCACTTCAGAGAAAAACTTTTGCTACATATATACAGCAGAAATAATACACTAAAAGATACACAGAGATCCCACTACCACTCTCCTATGTTCATAGTATTCAGGGAATTGGAATGTTTCATTTTCACTGTCAACTAATTCGGCCAATCACATAATCTGTTATTTTTTTCTTCTCCAAATTGGTTCTGAAAATAGAACTGGACTCCAAGGAATATCTGCAGGGAAGGAGAATCAGGTATGTGGAAGTTTAGCATTGGTTCTGCACATCTGCCTAACTCTCTTGCTGGCATCTCCCCCGCACCATTCATGTTCTACTGTGGCAAATGTAAACAGTGCATTTGGATTTCAGAGAAGGAAAAAGGGACATTACACAAAGGGACATTACTATTGCCTAAGAGACATCTCTAATCAGATGCAGTTAAGTTGGACATGGGATACCACATAGATCACTGTAAAAAATGCAATCTATTTGAAATGTTGTGGTATGGGAAATTCTAAACAATTGTGAGCTTGACTGGATATCACAGCTTCTTTTTAACTCAAGTAAATGTTCACTGAAACTCATTTTTTTATTATAGTATTTACTCTTTTAAATTTTTGTTGAAAGATTATAGAGGAAGATAAAGGGAGGCCTGGATGGGAAATTAGAATGCATTGGAAAAGAATTCCATCTGTTTGAAAAATCAAACCTTGATAGACAAATTGATTACTAGAGTGAATAAAATTTGTTATTCATTTGTCATTCTGAATGAACTATTGACTATAAATTCAAAAAAGGGCTTTGAAGTTGAGGAGTTAATCTCTACACTATCTCTAATCTCTACAGTATCACTTTATCTAACATCTGTATCAGTTATTTGCTTTTTAGCTATACCAGTTTCTGTGAAATTAGTAATTTGTGGGTGATCATCCTGATAATTAAGATATTGAGATACAACTTACAATTTTTTTCTTTGAGAATCTTCGAGAAGATTCCCAAAAGCCATCAAGCATCAAACAATCTGTCTAATTAGTTTGCCTATGTTCTTTCAATTCTGTTTGTTCTTTGGGTTTTAATAGCTCTGATGTTTGACTGCCATTTCCCTACTGTTCCTTCTGCTTGATGGCTTTTGGGAAGTTTGGGTCTTCAGGAGAAATTGGGACACACAATATTTGACATCTCTCAAACTGAAAATTCTAGAGGCGATTTCCTTTTCTTGTTGCTTTTGAAAGAGAGCAGGAATCACAATTCAGTACTTTCGAAGTCTGTTCTACTAACTACATTGAATTGATGACTTCCAGTTTGATAGATGTTTTAATAACCATGGTTTCTAACTTACAAGTCATAAACAGAAAATGTAAGTTTAATATTCATGAACAAGAAAACCAAAATTGTCATGGAAATCCAACCAAAGTTTCCTTCACATGTTGGCATGTTTTGAGGCACCGAGGACTGCAACTCTGCCTCCCAACTTTCTGGAGGAACACAATAAATATCTGGTGATTTGAGACTGAATTTTTCAGGCCCTTTTGAAGATCTAGTGACTGAAATAGTTGTGGAAGGTATTTAGGAGGCAGTGTTCCATTTCTATTCTTAACCTTTACCCTACCCAATCCTGCCACCCAAATTGACTGAGACTGTATAGGTCACCTGTCATTCAGTAGATTGTCCTCGAAGACTTTCAGCAAAGTCTCACAAAAGCTGTTCATTGCACCTCTGTCATCCTGAATACTCTTGAGATAACTGAACAGGCTTTGGGATGAGCATCGTACCTGTGAGAGAAAGTCCAAATTAAAAAAAAACAGTCTGGCCTATACAAGAGCTTCAAGAGCTTCTGGTGTCTTAATATTTAAACTTACCTTACCATTACATTAAAGGAATAAAAAAAATCTATGCTAATTGTATAAAAGGAACCAGAGATGAAGCTGCTGTGAATTTCTGTTTTCTGAGCACTAGGCGAGGATGTTTATCTTCAGGTAGTAGGTTTCCTAGAGTGAATAGGCAACATTCACATTTGAATCTCCAGGGGATGCACTACCTTGATCCCCAGATCAGAAAGGATACAACAAGACTGCTCTTCAACCCAATGCAAAACAATGCTTTTGAACAGGTAAATCCAACTACTGGAAAACTGAACTAAACAAACATATACATATACAAGCATTTATAAATGAACCAATGAATTAAAAACACGTAATAAAGGGGGAGAGACAAGGAAAAATCCACTAGGCCTTTTCTTTTCCCCCACCCCAAGGTGAGTGATGATAATAGTCATCCTACTGCTTTTAATATTTAGTTTGAAGTTGTTGGGAGACTTATATATAGTACAAATATGTGTAGGTAACAGATAACATAATCAGAGTTGGAGGTCATCTAGTCCAACCCCTTGCCCAAGCAGGAGACCCTACATCATTTCTGACAGATGGGAGTCCAATCTCTTCTTGAAAGTCTCAAGTGATGTGTAGGAATAAAACAGAATACAGTAAAAATTAATTGCAAACCTTACACAGGTATTAATCATCTTGGGGTATTTACAAAACAGCTAAGGGGAGAATTCCAGAAATAGTCTTTTTGGTTTTTTTTTGGTCACTCTTGGTAGATTGCTAGAAAGATCACTGTGCAATGAAACAAAGCCACAGTGCTTCTATATATATTCATCATCAGAACTGACTGAACCATCCTGCTTCCACCATCTAGAAAAGGTGTCCAGAGACTTCTGCTGAAGAGTCAAGAGAATTTCTGGCCTATCACTTCTGATGTACCTGCAAAATATAATATTTTTGTGCTCTGTGTACATGCTGCCAATGTCACATTTTTGCTGAGAATGAGAAACAGATGAATAAAGTGAAGGGAGAGACACTCCTTGTGAATTAAAGAAGAATTAAACTAGGAAGAAATGGCTGGATCTGAGCCTGGAAACCCAGTCAGTGAAGAAATATGTATCTGGAGAACAGATTAAGAAACCCCAATCTGAATCTTATCTAGCCAAAACTATGACCCCCCTCCCCCTCCCCCCAAACCCTCTATTATTGAACAACTTATTTAATAACATGTAACTGTAGGCTGTGGCAGAAAAGTTACTTCTTAAAAAACAGGTAGGGAAAGTTACTGTGTCCTATCTGGAGAAGTAGAATGATAACCTTCAATAAACCCATATAGTCCTACAATCTATCTTTCTGTTCAGATACATCTTTTTGAACAGGATGGGAAGTTATCTTTCCCTGAAAAAATTATGCTTCCCAAAAGCAGAACCTTTTCTTAAATATAACAAAATCCAGATTTAGGAAGAGGTTTTTTAAAAAATTTCCAAGCTGGATATTTAGAATCAAGGAAACTCTTTCTCTACCAAGATTATTTCCTTCTAAAAAGGACTACAGAAACAAATAGAGTTTGATCTAAGAAACTCTTTTCCAAAAAATAAGAAATAACCAGCTGTTTTCTGTAGATGTAAACAATACATCATAGGATTGCCACCTGAAATAATTATTTGAAAATCTTGAGGTTTTTCCTGTATTATTATTCTAACTAGCAATGCATGTGACCCATCTCTCTGATTTAGTTTCTGAAATAAGGTTTCACCATAGTGTCCAGAACACAAAATTATTCAAATAATTTTGATGCTTCTTTGCAGAGGCATATTTAGTTGCAGTCTAGCTATCCATAAAGCAATCTTATTTTAAAGAATCTATTACCTCTCAATGTCATATTGATTTGACTGAAATTCCAGTTCACTGATATTCTGTATTTCTTTCAATAAGACCAAATCTGTTTTAAGGATCAGCTACCCAAATTTATAAAAATTGCCCAGAAAATGTGGATTGCTTGAGGCTTATTTTTGTTGGCCTACAAAATGGTTTGGCCTCCACCTTCCAGATTTTTAAAACAGCTGACCATAGAAAAGAAGATAGGATGCAACTGAAAGTGGTAGACTATACTATAAAAAATAAGAACTGGCAAGATATCGTCATATCCAGGAGCCTGGCTAATTGCTGGAAAGGGGAAAAATAACTTAGCTGAACGGTTTTAATTAGATTACATCTGATTTCCACACCTAAAAGAAGAAAACTGTATTAAGTGGGATGGATTTTCCCCCAAAATTTCTCGTTGGAAATGAATCCATGAGCCATGAAGGTATATGGAACGCTCATTATGCTGTACTGTAGAAGCATAATAGCTTTACTGTCCAATATCTGTATTACTATAAAGTCTGCATAAAAGAGCCCTGAAGAATCAGATGATTACTCATGCCATATCTGAGATTTAAGATTGGATTGAAATAGTAACAAAATTAATTATAAAAAGAATTGATATTGTAGTTAAAAATTAATTCAGACTAAATTTATTAAAATATACAAAACTAAAATTTTAAACCTAGGCAGCTTTAATTCTAAAGAAATAGTTGAATACTAAACAACAAATAGAAGATAAACAATAGAGAGAGAGAGAGCCAGTTTGGTGTAGTGTTTAAGGCACCAGGCTAAAACCACGAGACTAACTTCTAGTCCTCTGTTAGATGCAAAACCAGTTGAGTGACTTTGGGCTAACCATTCTCTCTCTGTCCTAAGAAAAAGGCCATGGCAAACCACTTCCAAAAATCTTGCCAACAAAGCTTTTGGAACTAGTCCAGGCAGTTGCCAGGAGTCAACACTGATTCAAAGGCTTAAATTAAACAATAAGCAACATAAAAGCCAAAGATGTCTATCACTAAGGCTTGTTCGAAAACCAGAAAATCCAATCAGAGAAGCATTCTGTACCCTAAAAGAAAACAAAAAAGATTTATGCCCAGATTTATTTATTTTTTAAAAAAATGGCTTCACTTAAAACAGTGGTTATTAAATGGGATGTATATCTTGAGAATACTGGAGCTGTTTCTTGGTGAATCAATTTTGGACCAACATCCATGATATTAAAACTCTTTGAGAGAGTTTTATTTTTCATAGCAATGGGGTTTCTTCAGTTTTTTTTACACTTCCCCCCTATTATTTTTATAAATAACTCAAGGTGATGAATATACCTAATTCTTCCCTCCTATTTTCCTCACAAGCCTGTGAAGTGAATTGGGCTGCAAGTGACCGACCCAAAATCACTCAGCTGCATTTTGTGGCTAAGGCAGGACTAAAATTCACAGTCTCCTGGTTTCTAGCCTGGTATCTAAATTACTAGGCCATATGGCTCACTCGTTAACAGATCTTCTTTCATTCACATATTGCACATTCTTTAAGCTCATCTATGCTGTTTGTGGGAATAACTGCTGAGGCTGCATTAACTATAATAAAAAGTAAATTAGAATTCATTAAAATAATAAATCGACATTTGACCGTTGGCGATTTGAACTCATAACTTTGCACTTTTATAAAGCCAGTCATTCATACTACTAGGCTACATATTGGTGGTCAGCAGGTGTTCTGACCCAGGCTTAACAGAATCAAGAAACAGACTCCTTGTCCCCCCCCCCCCAAAAGGTTTTTATTTGGTTAATGTGAATTCAGAGCATTTACACCCAGAAAAGTCACGATAATAACCCTTCCCCGGTTTAATGCCCTTCCAAGTAATGAATGCTCTTTGTGAAGCTCAGGGGAAAAGAAATTTTAATTTCTGTTGTACATTTTGCTGGTCATTAAGGATGTACAAACCATTCCATAGGAGGAACAGCTCATTTGGGTGGTGTGTGCCCCAACGGAAGCTTGTATGATTCAGGTGCTTTGGTCTGTGTGAGGAACAAAATGTTCTGATCCTGTAGACCAGGCCTGTCAAATTGGTGGCCCACAGGCCGGATACGTCACGTGCAGGCCACGCCCACCCCGACTCCGCAAAGGCAAAAAGTGTCATGATATTGCATGATCCTGCCTGTGACGTGATAAAAGTTTGGCACTCGTGGTGTGGACAGAGACATTTTATGCACTATAGTACTGCACTGTTTCTAGATTATTTAAAATGCTGACATTACATTAAACCATTACATCAAAATTCTGCGCCAGTCAAACTTGACTTCTAGTGTCAAGCATGTGGGATTTTTTCTTTATAATATAGAAATTGTTAGCCATGGGCTTCTTATGGATTTTATTTATTTAATTTTTTAATTTTATTTATGTATTAATTCATTCATTCCCCTCCCTCTATGCTACAGGTCTCAGATTTCTCCTGGAGACCTCCTATTTGAACACTTACCAGTTCAGATCTGCTTAGGTTTTTGAAATCAACCAAGTTTGGTTAGGTGCTGCTTCATTATCAATAGCTAAAATCACATTACAAAGTTTTCCAAAAGTGTTTTTTTTTAATTCTTGCTGGAAATCAAAGCTTCACAATAAAGCTTGGATATGTTACAAATGTATCATTAAAACCAACGAGAGACTTACTAACAAATAGCTTCCACTGATTTTAATGTGACCTAAATTATAACAAATTCTGAGAAACAAAGTGACAACTTTTAGACAATGCTCTCTTGAAAAATATTACAATGGAAAGGAAGCTGAATAATGGACAATCATTTGTAATCTCCCATACAGTCAAAGAAAGAGGGAATATTTAAGGCATGACACCCTGCTGAATGCATTTTATGAGAAATTTAGCCTTTTCTACACAATTTGTAAATGCCCATATTAGCACAGCTTTAATTTTCAGGAAAAGGAATACTAGTTTCAGAAGAAGATATGTTTGTGAATGTGTGTGTGTGTTTTTAAATAGCTGAAAGGTCCTTTCATTATTACTGACATGTGCAACGCTACAGGATGAAAAAGAGGTCTGTAAGCAAAGTGGTGCAAATTACTTCAAGTATATTAAATCACAATAGATTACTACATCTTGCATATTCATACTTGTATTAATAGACCTGTATTCCTAATTATCAACAACTTGCTTCCAGAAACTGGCAGCCAACAATATTAACGCTTAAGTAACGTTCTTAAAATATTCCTTCCGTATGTTAAGTGACAAAACTGTTCCAAGCAAATAAGTTTTTATTTCCTTACCGTTGATTCAGTTAAGCCTCCAATTGATACAGTGAGACCTGTCAGAATGTGGTAGCGATAGGATGCTAATCCCAAAAGCTGTGTGACTCTAGGGAAGGCCTGGGATGGAGCATTCCAATTGAAAGTTACAGCTTCTGACCTGTGAAAAACATTGAAACAAGTGCAAAAGAAAATAGGTTACCCAAACATAACTATCGTTCATGGTTCTTTTTAAAATTATTATTTAAATCTTGAATGTCAAAATGAAGAAATTGTTTTTGCTGTTCAACAGAATAAATGCATTCTAAAGTGCACAGTATTATTTCACAATCTTAGGACATGTCTCTAAAGGTACAACTAAAATCAATATAGATTAAGATTAAGGCAAATCACACATTGAGTGTGGATGTGGATAGGGCAGCTCGACTGAAGTATGAATACACTACAAATGAGTATTTAAAAGCTCTCGCTTGTAGGGAGCTGGAGAAGGATGTGAAACAGCCTAAGTGCAGTGAAGAAATATTTTAATGCTAATATCTCTGCTTCTGAATAATACCCACTTGAGGTAGTTCCTCTTTTCAAAACAGATTTCCAGTCTAAAGTTACAGACTTTTGCCTATAACCACAACTTAAATTGATGGATTTCTTTTCACATATACAGCCAAAGGTCTCTTAGCCATACTGAAGACTGATTACCTTGGAAATATCCTCTCCAAGTCTTCCCGATGAGGTATGTGTGGGACTGGAGGGTTATCAAAGTAAAGAAGGGTGAGGAACACAGATCCGGCATGAGCTCGAAATCGGTCAATTTTTTCAGCTGACTGTTGAGCCACAGAGCACATAATCTGCTTGGAACTGAAAGTCAAAACACCATTTAAAAGACAAATCCAAATCATACTTTGCGACGGTTTTTTTTTTTTTTTGCTTTATCCCGAATAACCCTCCTCCCATAACAATATTTCAGACTTCTGCTAAGAATTCTTTCCAGAAAGGGGGAAAGGCGAATGGTTGTTTAAAAAAAAAGCAGCAGCATTATTTTTGCCACAAGATTGAGGAACAACCCCTTAGGATACTTAGATCTCAGGTCTCTCAGCAGTTGCAGTGGGCAAGATTTGGAACAGGAAGACCCAAAGATTAAATCGGTGACTGGGCAGCCATTGCTTCCCAATTCAACCTCTTTGAGAAGTTACAATCCGCATTCCTTGAGACCAGATAGGTGCAAGACAGGACTTGCTTAGGTCTTTCAGTAACAATAGTGACGGGAGCAACTGATGGCAATCAGCAATCAGATGGTAACTCTTGCAGAAGCCTTTCCAGAAAAGGCTGATTACTTAACCAAAAGCTGGTTAAGTATCCAAAGGCTGACATATAACGTTTGCAAAGTACATACATGTTTGCATCAATTAAGGCTGGCTCAGTCCTGGTTAACAACAGGGTTATTTCCATCAAACTCGTCATAGCAGCTTCTCTCACCCTGTTGAAGTAAGCAACCACAGACATAATTTACTAATGTTGATTTCTAGCAAGTTTAATAAAAAATTGTAAATTCATCATGCTTCTATGATCAAAATAAAATGCTTTGGTGTATACATCATGCACATACTCAATAATGGCTCCAAGATGTTTTTGTTTGGGGAAGTAGAAAACTGAAGCAAAACAAATCACAGTCAATCAGGCATACAAATTTTTGCAGCCAAACCTCAAGGGAACTTTCTATACGCCATGTCTCTATTAATGCTCACCTCATTCATTCTAATTTGTGTGAGCAGCTTTCAAAGAACGTATATGAGTTTACGTGTGTGGTAACTAAAAATAAGTAATAATTGAAAAAAGACAGTAACTCTTTCATGCAAAGGCATGAAAACTTGAGTTCATGGGTGCAACTGAGAAATGAGATTCTCAATTCCTAAAATGTTTAATCTTACAAGTTCAAGCATACTGTCTTCACTGTTGTTAGTCATCTTTATTAATTATAGGGTTTCCAAAGCATAAAATATACCCAGCTCCATTTTTGTTTTGCTTTCATTTTCCTAAAACTTCCGAAAACACCAGTAATTTGGTGTCACATCATCCTTTTATGTTTTGCTTTTTAAAATAATTCCCTCAAAAGGCATGTGAAGCATCTTTCATCCCAACATCCAAAGGGCAAGCTAAGAATCGGATTGGTGACACTGCTTCACCATCCTGCTTCCATCAGCCTTTTCCCTATTGTGTTGAGTTGATGTACTGGTCACAGCTCCTACTGGACAGATTGGAAAGATTTTATTTTTTTTGGGAAGACTTAATCACATTGGATTAGACCTTTGTGGAATTAGATAGAACTTTGTGCTAATCGGTTACAGGTCAATGTACTAAAATCAATCTCATCCATTTTGAAACCATTCTATTTTTTATTAAATAAAAATGTACAAGTTTAATGTGACTAAATGTTGTATATTTATGATAATGTCTTAGTTACTTTTATCCTGGTTTTTAGACAAGTGGGAAAGAGCAATTTAAAAGAAAGAGACAGGCCTTGCCATCCACTCACAATCTATATGACAAGACACAGAAAGGAATGGAGAAAAAAGAAAATGGTTCATTAATGTCAGGAAGAACTGGAAAGCCATATGCTGGCATTTACATGCAATTGCATGCAGATATGATTCTATCTCCCGGTGAAATGCTCACTGAAATATCAGCTTGTGGAACCTGTTCCTATGAATAACTGATTTGAGGAATAAGAATCATAATCATATCACTGAATTCTGGAACCAGGATGTACTGCCTTCAGTCATTCTAGATGTAGACTATCAATTAGAATTACCATATGTGGGCTGCAATATTCAGACAATGAATAGATAGGGGCCGTGGTGGTTCACGTGGTAAGACGCTGGGCCTGTGTACCACTGAGGTCGGTAGCTCAGCAGTTCAATTCCCTCATGAGCAAATAAATTGCGGAAGGGACAGGAAAGGAGCCTTCCCCGATTGCCTACTGGCATTCAGGCATCCCACAAGTAAAGATAACACTGCCCAAAACAATTCCTTTCACAGAGGCAACCAGCCATCTAGGTGATCCCTGGCTAACATGTGCCATACACTAAATAAAATAAATGAATACCATGTTTCTCATAAAATAAGGCCAGGTCTTATATTTTTTGGAGCCCCCCAAAAAACGGCTAGGCCGTCTTTTTGGGGATGACTTAATTCCCCCCCTTGCATCCTCATCTAGAGCGCCCCAAGGGCAGCTTTGCCACCAGCCGCTCCTAACGGGTGATCATGGCGAAGCGCAGAGAGCTCCCTACTCCCACCAAACACCTTTGCTGCAGACCCAAGACCTTTGGCACCTGCCGCTGTTACTTTCCCTTCTGCCCATTCCGCCGCCACGTTTGGAGCTGCCGCTTCCGTGTTTGGAGTGCTGCCGCCATTTGGGGCACCGCCACCATGTTTGGAGCTGTCGCTTCCGTGTTTGGAGTGCCGCCGCCATTTGGAGCACCGCCATCATGTTTGGAGCTGCCACTTCCGCGTTTGGAGCTGCTGCCATGTTTGGAGTGGCGGCGGCGCTCCAAATGGCGGTGGTGCTCCAAACAGCCGCAGTGCTCCAAACGTGGAAGCAGTAGCTCCAAACGCAGTGGCAGCTCCAAATGCGGAAGCGGCAGCTCCAAACAGCAGCTGTGCTCCAAACAGCAGCGGTGCTCCAAACAGCAGTGGTGTTCCAAACGTGGAAGTGGCAGCTCCAATCGCCGCGGTGGCATGAGCAGAAGAGAAATCAACAGCGGCGGGCGCTGAAGGTCTTGGGTCTGCCACAAAAGTGCTTGGCAGGAGTAGGGAGCTCTCCGCGCTCTGCCATGATCGCCCATTAGGAGCAGCTGGTGACGAGGAACTGCTCCCCGCGGGGCGCTCCTAATGGCAAGTTCCCCCCCTTCCCCCCCCCCATTTTGCATGTTTTAAAATAGGCCTAAATTTGGGGGGGGGGGCTTAATTTCATTTTATGCCTAGAAAACATTCTGGGTCTTCCTATTGGGGGAGGTCTATTGTTGGAGAAATATGGTAGATGGAAAAAAAACAGCAAAGAAAGTTCTACAACATTGCTGCCATCTAGCAGTCATCCAGAAGTTTGCAATCCAATCTAGGACATGCTATCCTTATGTCCACTGGAACGGATTGATTCCTGGCAAAGAAAACAAAGCAAGCTTTTTTCAGTTGCTCCTTCTTGGCTGAAATTGTGCACCAACAAGTCCTTTCCTTGCCACAATGTTTTTCCTGCAAGTACGGATCAGATATCGTGGCCCTAAATAACCCGAGCTTTTCTCTAGGTGTTCTTATTATCTGAAGTATGAAGAGAATGACCAGTCTTTTTAAACAGTAGACTCCCATTTCTGAAATATGTATTTCAACTGGGAGAAGCATTTTGTTTTCTAAGCTTCTAAAACTGAAAATGTTTTTTGTCAAATGTTATCTATTTGAACAGATTATTATAGCTCTATGGTCTATGTAGCTATATACACATTTACCCTGAATGCAATATTGCAGGCTATTTTTGCTGACTGCTGGCTGCTGGCAGTTCGAGTCTCACCATCAAGGTTGACTCAGCCTTCCATCCTTCTGAGGTTGATAATATTGTTGGGGGCAATATGCTGACTCTCTAAACCACTTAGAAAGGGCTACAAAGCATTGTAAATCAGTATGTAAGTGCTATTGCTACATTAATTTGTATGTTTTTTTTATAACTTGTAATGCATTTTTAACGTCTTAATATCTTAACATCTTTATATTCTTAGCATCCTAAGAATATAAATCTAGGCTGAAAGGGCAAAATACGTATTTATTGATTCTGCAAGGTTGGTATCCCTTATGGATAGAGCTATGGGGACTGTATAACACTTCAAAAACAACTTAAAGAAAACCCATTAGATCTTGCACAAATGCAACACTTTCCTGCCAATATTTAAGGTTGCCATGTCCTGCTTTCAGACTTTCATGAAATCTGAAAAAAGGATACAAATTACATAGCACTTTTCACAAATAGCAAAAAATTGCTCTGCCAGACATGGTCCAAAGCACTTCTTCCCAATAATTTTCAAACCATCTATTATCCTAACTGAATCATTTTTAGCATTTATTAATTTTTTTAACAGAGGAAAATCTATATTTTTGCAATATTAGGAAGGAGTCAAAGACTACTTCTTACTTGGCACTTCTTTTTCCAAATGGATACACACTCATCCTGTTAATGATGCATCTCTCAACCAATCTCATTTGTACACACAAAACCTAGCTAATCTCATATGGGGAAAAAACTATTTTTCACATATTCTAGCCTTTATGCTATTTATGGGAAACAATCAATAGCCCAAATAAGATAACACTGCAAGCAAACAATTGAATCAATGCAATATCTATATATCCTTACTATCAAACATTAAAGTATTAAAATAGTCTAACAACAATTATTACAAGTTTTCCAAAATGTATGTATGTAGAAAATTTATATAGCCGCCTACTCGCTCATACCGATTCTAGGCGGCTTAGATATGAATAATAGAAGCCAAATTCTAATTAACTAGGAAAAGTTACAGCTGCAGGACTATATTGCTATATTACCTCATCAGTCCTTCTCCTGATGCTAATTTTCTGCAGTAAAATATGCCTTCAACAGAAAAAGAACCCCTTTGAGCAAATCTAATCAGGTCTCCTTGCTTGTCCAAATCAAGGAAGAGAAGACATCTTCTTCAGAAGAAATCCTTTTCAAGGATCAAATCAAAATATGTGCAACTGAGGTGAAGATTTGGTTGCTTCTTCATCCATATCAGCCTTCTAGGTTTTTACATAATCAAGTTAGAACCTGGCATTAGATGGCTTTACTTCTGGGCATTCATTCATTAATTGACTATTTAAAGATAGTTGTAATGTAGAATTTAAAAGTAATTCTATTTTAATACTAGTAACAACAGTGAAAATGGATTATTGAATAAGAAAATGAAAAGATAATGAAAGACATAGAAAAATAGCAAAGGTGCATTCAGAAAGATGTTTTGAAGAAGAGAAAAAATGTGCATTGTAACAGTAAATGGATGCTTTTTTCTGCAAAATAATCTAATGAACCCCTCATCTGATCTGCTGCCAATTTTGTAACTCATTCCCAAGAAATCTATCTGTATTACAACATGGCAATACACGTTATGCAGTTTTCCTTTTTTATGGAAAATTCAATATAATGAATATGTAAAAAGAATTAAGTCTACTGGATTTCTGTCTCAGTTTCCCTGCACAAGCATGTACACACGTGTATACTCATACACCCACACAGACAGCAATTAGATCACTTTCAATCAAAGAACCCTTTTTCTTTTTCACACAGCATCTTGCTCTTAAGGTTTTTATATTTAACACCTGTAGACAGAATTTGGACAAGTCCCAGCAAACAGTCTGTCAAAAGGAATGTTAAGTTTGCATATGGAAAATACAGTTTGTTAGCTTTCCCACGAATCCTTTAAAAAATAATAATCAAAGCTTCGTGTACATTCCTATTCCTTTTGGACCTTTTTTCATTGGAGCAGACACACACCTCAGAAAGTATTTTCCCAAGAGTACCCATGCATTCATTTCCCCTTCCAACCCATTGAGTACCTAGCATTCTAACTCCAAAAAAGATTTGAGAGCTTAAAGAAGCTTTGAACTAGTAGGGTTTCTACTATCTGGTCAGAGGTAAGAGATATATTATTTAACATAGAAACAAAAATACTAACTTTGAGACATTCAAATTTAATATTTTGTCCTGAAAAAAAGTAAAAATTCTAGAATAAGTATGCATACAAATTTGTGTTGATGTTTATTGTAGAATTAACACTTAATTCAGGCTATATAAATTCTAGAATAAACATGGATACAAATTTGTGAATACATGGTTAGAATTTCTGTTAGATTTCCCCTAAGAGTTAAATATTCCGGAAAGGGACAGCAGAGAAAATATTGCTTTCTTACTAACTCCACATTCTTACTTAATACTATCCCTCTATCTACACCAATTTTCTGTAGGTTTTTTTCTTTCTGATCAAATAGTAGCAGAAAGAAACATTCACATCAGTAAGCTATAACTGCCCTAATATGATTTGGCCCCCCAAAGCTAAACATGCCTTTAAAAATTTTTTAAAAAGGAAAATTTAAATATGGATTTCCTACTACCAATCACTCATTACATGTTTTTACTATGCTATCTTTGAATTTGTTTACATTCTGAAGCTACAAATTATACGCGCAATTCTTTCTGCATTCTTTCACACGTTTCTTTAGCATGTAAGCATGAAATATGCTAGAAAATATTCTTAATAGATTTGTTTAAGAATACACGTAGCAATTTAAAAGACACATTTTTGTGTGCTACAATGAAAAGTTGCATAAACCTATTTCTTTAATTTTAAAACTCTTTAATTTAAATATCTTAGCTCTTTGTAACTTAACAGTCAAAATAATACACTGTCTTGTTCAAGTTGAGCTCAACTTTTGGTGACTTCATTGCCACGTGAAAACGCAAATAGTTGGCCAAATAGTTTCCCTGGCAGCACTACAGAAATGGTTTGCCACTGTCTTCTTTCAGGTTATAATTCTGATTTCCCAAGCTGGCCTATAAGAGCCCTGGAGCCTCCCATCAAAGCCCAGGTCTGACTTTGCTTAGTTTTGTGCAATCAAGTAAAGTTATGCAATGCAATTTAATAATAGGAAAATTCAAATGATCGTGTAAAACAAATTCACTTTTTGTTAAGCTATGAGTACGAATGGTTAGACAGTCATGTTTTTATTTATGTCAAAATAAAACTTTGTGGTTTGTAGATAATAGAGATAATGAAAAGCAGTTGCTCTTTAAAATAATGTGTGCAAAATGTGGCTTGTAGGATGTAGCAATGTAAGAAAGGAAGGAGATCAACTGTTGGTACAATTACACCCTCTGCTGTTTAATCTTCATAATGGAATATCAGAACAGCTAATCATTCTTTCAGAGTGAAATAAAACAAAGGAACTTTTTGAATTAAACACTCAGTGACCATTAAAAATAAACATATGGAAGGTTTCTCATGGAAGAAAGCCTCAAAAGTAAGTAAAAGCCATGTGTTCACATTTTCTCTGAGTCTATCATTTTTGCTTTGCATTACAAAACAAAGCTGGGATTTTATCAAGACCACATACATCTTACCATGCTCCAACATCGCCTCGGCTGTCTGTTGTGTAATCATTCAGACCATCCAACAATATGTTGTATATCTCTGTAACGTTACTTTTACACACAAATTCATTTGGTGATCCTTCTCCATTCACCCCTACAGTCAAGCAAATTCTAGAAGGAAGAAAGCTAATTATAATGATATATTTTTTTAAAAAAACATAACATTTGTGCATTAACAAATTTCTGCTTAACCCCAATAAGTAACTGAATATCATGTAGCAATGCATTTTATAAGTAGTCGTTGACTAATGTCCATTCATTTAATGATGGTTCAGTTATAACAGTGCTGAAAAAAAGAGGCTTAGGACCCGTTCTTGAAGTTGTAACAATTGCACTACCCCTCCAGTCACATGCATGCTATTTGGCACTTGGCAACCAACTCATTTACAACCACAACGAGGATAGTTGTAAGATCCTATAGTCATGCAATTGTGATTTGCAACCTTCCAGATGGTTTTCAACCAGCAAAGTCAATGGGGGAAGCTGGGTTCACTTTACTGTTTGATTTATTTAACGTATACATGATTCACTTAACAACCATGGTGATTAATTTAATTATATGATAAACAATGGTGATAATATCTGGTCCAGTCACCTGATGACTCGCTTAACAACCACATAACAACTGAAATTCTGGACCCAATTGCGGTCATTATAATATCAAGGTTAGTCGAGGACTACCTTTGATATTATAAAAGTTTAGTCGAAAGATAGATAGATAGATAGATAGATATAATTAGTTTTGGTATTACATCTTTGTTATGTAGAATTAACTACAGATTGGGAGGGGAAGGCAAGGGAAACATATTGCTCAGGTGATTATAATATTCTCCTAATCAAGGTTTTTTTCCCCCATATCTAATGACATAGAGAAAGACCGGAGTATAGTGGGACATTTAGAGGGAATCATTCCATCAGCAGATCAGCTTGCTCCTGAGTGACAAGTTGTTCAGTGTTGTTCAGCTGTTTTACATAAAAAGTTGATGTTTTACTAGTCCCTTAGGTCTTAGGATGTCTAATAGGTTGAAAGTTACAGGACATGCAAGTACTCTTGCCGTTTACACTGGTTATTTAACAAAGCGGTGAGCAATTTCTTCTACTAACAAGTTGTCACTGGAGTCCTGGAGAAAATCCCACTCGCAAAGATTATGGCTTGTTTGAGATGCACAATTTCTCTATGTATCATGTTTTTTACAGGGCCTGCTTTTTACACAGATTTCCCCACAGATTACAAAATTCATTCTGCATAATTTATACCAGTGCTTCCCAAACCATGGGGTGTATCTCCCTTGGGGAAGTGTAGAGCCCGGGAGAGGTATGAAAAGCCTTAATTTATTGATTAAATTTATATGCCACCCATCTTACTGTTGAAGCAACTGGGTGGCTTACAAAATGATAAGTGGTACGCAGTGGCCTATTTTAACAACTAAGCCAAGAAAGATAGATAGTCTTTGACTTACAACTACAATTGAATCCAAACTTTTTGTTGTTGAGTGAGACATTTGGTAAATTAGTTTTGCCTCCTTTTACGACCTTTCTTGCCACAGTTGTTAAGTGAATCACTGCAGTTGATAAATTAGTAATCCGATTGCTAAGTGAATCTGACTTCCCCAATGACTTTGCCAATCAAGAAGGCTGCAAATGGAGATCACGTGACTCCAGGACACAGCAATGGACATAAGTATGAACCAGTTGCCAAGCATCTGAATTTTGATCACCTGACCATGGGGAATGCTATAAAGGTTGTAATTGTGAAAAATGGTCAAAAGACACTTTTTCAATCCTATGGTAACTTTGAATGGTTGCTAAATGGACTACCTGTATTTCTGCGTATGTAAAAAATTTACTTGTAGAAGAAAATCCTAAGATTACAGTGTTAACAACCACATTTTTAACTATGCCTATAAAAACAAGGCTTTTAGTAATAAATCAGTACAGAGGTTTTAACCCTATTATGTATTAGTTATTAAATATTTTATTTGATAAATTGTTTTATCCAATGCCAAGTTTAGTTTGTATTTGTAACTTGCTTTTAAGCCTTTTGGCCATAATAAAATTGATTTATGTTCTTACCACTTTTATTAAGTTTTGTCTGACAAAAAAAAAACATGGTGAGAGATGTATTTATATATTTATTTAAATAAATTAATTCATAGTATTATATTCTTAACTACACTCACTGCTAGGTATTTGAAACAGAAAGGATCACATACTTTGCAACCGCTTTCAGGCCATCTCTTCTGGATTCAGCAAAACTCACACCTCCAGAAATCGAAGTGGCTTTTTTCAAAGCGTCTAAAACCTTGAAGAATAAAAGAAAATCCAAACACTAAACCAGTACTTGATTATTTTTCTCATACAACATTAGGCAGAATAATGGAGATGAAGTAGTTACAATAAAGTGGTAGATAATAATGAAAGTATGTAGCATGAACAGAAGAAAAGTGGTAGATGGTAATGAAAGTATGCAGTAGCTTTGCACATTGCAAAGCAGACTTTTCATGTGGTTGATTAGAGATGTGCATTACATTCAGTCAGATATCAAGGCTGGTTTTCATTTACAAGGGTGACAAGACAAGCCTAAACCTGTCCTGTTGCAGTTCTGTGTCTCCATGAAGTTTGGCTTCTGTGAAGCTCCACAGCACATTGCAAAAGACGGATTAGCAGCACTTGCACTTATACCCTATCACACAACTCATTCACAGAAAGAGCAAGGGAGGATTAGAACGCATCCCAAAATCCTGATCAAGTAACTGGAAAGATTATTATGTAAACTCAGGCTCTTTGTTTTGGGAGGGGTTAGGGAGACTATTTGATTTAGGGGAATAAAAACCAAAACCATCAATCTTTTGCATGGTCAGATTACTTCCTATTCATCTTAGTTCTTTGCAATGACCCTTCACTGCAGGAAAAATAACTTATTTGACTAATCTCTTTCTAGATCCCCAATAGACCCTGTCGAGTTTCAATAAGATTGTGGTGATATTTCTGAGGCTCTTATGCATGGTTCACCTGAGGCCCTCTTGACTGATGGGAACAGGTGCCAAGACAGTAGCAGGGGATCAAATTGCACTTTGGCAGCCTCTCTGTAATCAAATCCCATAGAGATTCCCAGAAAAAAGTTGCCTAGAGTGTGCCATTGAACAAGTAAATCTGATCAAATACTTCTCAAAGCATTTCTTGAGGGAGATCCAGTTTTTAAAGAAATTGTGATTTCTCAACAAATCTTTCCTAGATACAAAAGAGTAAACCGTTTGGTATCCAACATTCCCTTTTGGAGTGAGATTATCTACAGTGGCTTTGCAACTACAGAAGAGTCTATAATGTATTGTTATGATAATGTATTATTTGGACACCTCCCAATTGGATTACAGACTGAGATATAGCACTCAGATATTGTTGATTACATTTACAGGTGACTTTTGGCAGGATGAGGATGGAGATGCATGCAACCTAGGCAATCTTGAATTTGGGTTCTCAGCACCTGCTGGAAGAGCAGTTGGCAGCCATGGCAGGGAAGCCTTTGCACAAATCATCTTATCTGCTAATTGAGCCCACTCATGGTCTTTTGATGTCCTACACACACTCACTTACTCACTCACTCACTCTCCTTCTTTCTCTCTCTCTCTCTCCCTCTCTCTCTCTCACACACACACTCACACACACACCTCAACTATGAATCACATGGGACTATCTTGAAAACCAACTAGAAGGTGCAACTAAACGAGAATGAGCAGCATAAGTAACTATGGATGAGATTTCGTAATTGCCCATGTCACATAGTTGTTTCACAAATAACCCTGGCTTCCCATAAGCTTTTGGAACAATTCAAAGCTCTGTTTATCCTCTCTAAAGCCCTTCATGGCACAGGACTAGTTACTTGCAAGACCACCTGTCTCTAACTGTCTCTGCTCAATCCATGAGATCCAGCAGATTATTCACACTTTGATCTCTTCCACAAAACAATGCCTTCCAGTAGCTTTTGTGTTTCTTCAAATTGTAAGTTTCCCAAATTAGGCAGACATCCAACAAATGATTAAGTGACTTCCCGATATCCAGAAATAAATGTGAGGTAATGTTGAGATTTCACCATTAGTCTTAATTGACAATGGAGACAAATGAAAAATAGCAGAGATCTAGTTATAGAAATCAAACATTGGCAATATAATCTATTTTATGTTTAACAACACAATCACGAATCATTAGAAGACTTTTTAAAAAATACTTGAAAACTGTTATAAGACATTTTACCCTGCACCTTAGCTCTCACCTCCTGGAGTCTGCCTTTTAGAAGAAACTTCGGAAGGGCACCCAAGGCTAGTGAAAAACCACAACGAATCATTTCTTCATGGCTTTGAAGGCCTGAAATGTATTGCACCAGCAAATCTGGAAAACATAACACTCACAGTCTGAGTAATTAAAACTCCAGAAACAATGCTTTACAGCACTAAAATAACTACTGATTATTCTTGAGGAACGGTGGAGATTAAACAAACAATTGAAAATTGTTTATGTAATATTCAGTATATAATGCATTCCTAATATTTCTTATATCCAAAAACCTTCAAAAGTTTTATTATGACAGTGTTTTGACAGCAAAGCATGAGAGTAAGCTCCACAAGATGGCATGAGTCAATTTTCCTTCAGTGACATCATTCTATAACTTCAAGCCATTCAGCATATCTCCACTGCAAGATATGTTGTAAGGCATTACTAATGGATTCTCTGAAAACAAGGAAAGCATTTTTAAAAAAAAACAGTCAGGAAAGAAATTCAAATTTTTTAAATATATGTATTTCCCCTTTGGGGAAAATATTATTTTTTCCTGCTGGCCTTCCAGAGACCGATTAAAAAGCTGGCTCTTTACAAGCCAGGGAGTAACAGGCAGTCTACCCCCTTATAAGTAGCTTTAGTTTGGTATATGTTTGTGCTGTTACAATCATCGGTGTGCTCTATATATTTTTGGTGTTTCTGTTTCTGCTTGTTCTAGCAGTTATTTCTTTGATGTTTTAACCCCATTGTGTAAGACACCTAAAATTACACTATCATTGAGATGCCATACAAATCGATAAATAAAGAAAAAAAGAGCAGCACAGTGAAACAGCACAGCATTCACAAAACATTAGTCTATGAAACAAGGAAAAGTTCTAATTTAACGAAAACACAAACAAGTTAATTGAAAATTAAACAAAATAATATGCTAGAGAAAACATGGGTAATTGGCCATACAAAAGTTTGTTCTATATGAAATTTAGTTCAGGCTAATGTTTGGCTTGTGCTGCGCTTTTTTTTTTAGTTAGCAAGATACCAGAAGTTATCCTTAAATAAAAAATAGAAATGAATCGGGTGAATCATTACCTTGCTCAGCTAGATTTGCTCCTCCCTCTTCATTGCAGTAATATTCATTACATAAAGCAGCTAATGCAGACACTGCTGACTCCTAAAACAAAAGCAAAACCACAAAGATATAGAATTACTTCTCTTTCAAATGCACTCTGAAAGAATTCCACTGTAGAGACACCTGATAGGTCATCTGCAAAAGTCCTACAGTAACATATTTAATGTCTATTCATGCAATTATTATGACTATGTCAGATAACCCCATTCATGTGAGATTTCACACAGTTGAGTAATATCCTACTATGTTCAATTGTTCCACTTTAGGAGCTAGAAGCAAGTCAGGCTGGTCAAACAATGCTATATTACAAATTACCCTGAACTAAAACCTCCATTCAGTAATAGGATGGGAAGATATTGCAAGTAGATTAGTATTGTTGTAATCATGGCTCTGAAGAGGTAATACTAAATTGAAGTACATTTCAGTACGCTCTAATTATAGCTTAAATAAAACATTGTTTTTTTGTTATTTAATCAGTACTTTGGTTCAGTACTGCTGTACATTTGGATCAGTGACTGTAAAAAAGTATTGGCTATTATATCAACTATTTATCTGATTTATCTCAAGTTGATATACTATATACAGGCAATCCTTGACTTGCGACCATAATGAAACCTGCCCATCAGTTATAAATTATGATGGTTGTAAAGTGGCTCATCCATGTGACTGACCTGATTTTACAACATATGTTTGCAGTGGTCATTAAGCAAATTGCTGTGATTGTTAAATGAATCTAGAGTCATGAATTGAATACCATGATCATTAAACACCCTCACTGTTCCCTATGGGGCATTTTTGCCAAAAAAAAAAAACAGAGTTAAAGGCCAGTTGTTGGCAAAAAGTGGCATAAATTGCAGTCACATGACTGTGGGACATTGTAAATGTAGGCGAGCTGCCGAGCAGCAGAAAAATGATAACATGAACATGGGGGTGGGAGTGGGTGGGGGGGATGTACTCTCTGCTTCGTTTTAGAAAGCCTAGAAATTTAAACTGTAATATAGCAACAACAACAAAAACATGGTATTTTGACATTTTAAGATCAATACAGATAAAATTGCTGTACTTTTACTTGCTGTCTTGAATTGCTTGAAATAAGATGAAGGCTTTGTAAACTATCATTTATCAGCCACTGCCAGTCATCTGAAGATAAAGAGAGAAAAAAATACTTGGTAGCATATTGGTTGCCTTGCTTTTTAGCACATCTACATCTTTTTACAAATCCTTACAGGTTCTAATTCCAACTGAAATTTGTTTCAATTTCTTTTTGCCGCTAACTTTTTAGAAGATGTTCCATAAATAAAATCCCCACATAAAAACCCACCAGAATAGCAGACATACGGGATATAAAAAAGCAACTGCTACTCCACGTTTTCCTGGAATTGCCATTGTTTTATAACATCTCTAATGGGCATCAATAGCCTCAATTTCCATCTACTGACATCCTGACACTACTGTGAGGAATGAAGCTGAATATAGCAAACATGGCCATGACATCAAGATGACAGGAGGAAAAAAGAAAAGATAACAAGCATATTGAACCACTCTGAATTACATCTTGTGACAGTAGAAAATAAAGGAATTTACATGATTATATTCTTGCTAAGTAAATAATACTATTTGCTAAAGTTATAATTATCAATAAACAGACATGGTAGTTCTACAACATGACAAAAATCACCTACCAATTATGGGATCTTTTCTAAAAGGCAGTTTTGAAAGTGACAACTTTTCAATCAAAGTGCAGACTAGAAAACAAGAAGGGGAAAGAAAGCAATCAGAGCTCCATGCACTGAATTAAATGGCATTCATAAGCCTTTTTACATGGGGTCATGGTTCATGAAGTCACACCATTATTACTACACAGTAAATAGCACTGTATGGCAAATCTATCAGCAGAGGGAGATATGACAGGAAAAAAAGGACTGCTTCGGAGGATGGGCAGTAGGAAATTGTATTCCTCATTGAAATGTTGATCCACCACCTTCAACACCAGGTTCTGAGCGCTGGATCACTGCTGAAGGACTTTATCTCAGGGGCTTCTAGTGAGACAAATGTTGAATGCCAGGCCCATTTGTAATACAAATGTCTTTTTGTAATTTTATTTTGGAGGAGAACATGGACCTGGAATGTATCACCAGTATCTACTATTATCTTGACCTGATAATTGTACCTTCCAACACTAAAGTAGGAGAGGAGGGGTACATTGAGATCCCATGAGATTCTGATGGTGCCCATAGTTGTTCTGTGATAATTTGATGATGGCCCATCCTGATATTTTGCAGATGCAAATTTGAACTTGAGTTGGTGATGGATTCCTTCAAATTTTGCATTATGAGAATATCTGGGAATTCACAGATGTTATAGAACAGGGGTGTCAAACTCATGGATCATGGGCCAGATACATCATGCACTAGCCATGCCTACCCCCTTTTTAGTGAAGGGGGGAAAGTCACAATACATCACGTGATGGCAATGTGACATTGTTATAGAAGATATCAAGATAACAGAACCATAGGCTTGTTGCAGTCATCATAGTCCTATATCACATAGGCTACACACATTAAATCTGGTTAGATTGTGATTAGAGGGTTGATCTGATCAGACTTAAAGTACAAGGCCCCTACTGAGCAGTAGAACAGATCTATGGTCTTCCAGACATCTTATGAATCCATAAAAATGTTCTTAGTAGCATATCCTCATTCTGGAATTGTTTGGCTTTTGAAATCAGAACACCATCTCTCCTTTTCTCATTTAGCACTTTTTTCATAGAACATTTGGACTGGAGAATTCTCAGTAAGCAATACTAAAACAGATCTTATGTTGTAAATTTTATTTTGTTTTGTTTTTATAATTGTAGAATGTCTTAAGAGTCCTGTGTTTAAGTAGTATATAAATTTCTATGGTTAAAAAAATAATTCTTAGCAACACAAAGAACATTATAAAAATATTATATTACAAGGGTAGACTTTTGAGGAAATAAATAATTAATTTGATGACCTCAAATATGCTGAGTAAATCACCCCAAAATGGCAAATTTGACTATTAGAATTGTGGGCCAGCAGATCTGCAAGACATTAGCTGGGGAAGACTATATTCTATTCATACCAAGAATTATTCATTACATGTTAATATATAGATGTGGCAAGTAGAAATCCCAACAAAAGCTCATATTTCCTAATACCCAAGTATTTCTTTACTTGACAGCAGGGAAAAGTTCCTACATCCATAGAGTTCCCTTTTCACTGGAATCCCATCATACACACATGAATTAGCCCCTTAAAACGGTGTTTGGGGGAAGTAATTGATTTTGACATCAAATTGGCAAGAAAATTGGTTATTGCAATGGCATTGTTTTCTGCTATGGATTAAAAACAGGAATATAAAAAAAGAAATCTGGGATTTGATCATGTTTTATTCTATGTTTTCTGAATCATGAATGAAGAAAAATATATTTTGGTATCATAATTTTAGATTAGGGAGAATGGCTGACTTCTACTTTAAGAGAAAGCTATTGAAATCAAAGAAAGGTTGGCAAAATATTCAGTGAATCAGAAGACTAGCCAAGTTTATATTATATAATCTTAAAATGTAATATTTCTTTCAAATTATATTTGTAAATAGAATGTTCTATGTCAAGTAACATACCAGCTGGTCTCATTAGTTCTCCACCTAAACCTCTGGAAAAGAAAGAAGGAGAAAAACCAATTTAAGAAACAGCATCACTGCCAGCATTTTGCACTGACATGACGGAAAAAGGAAAAGAAAATTGATACATAAATATAAACTTGCCTGTTTTGTCAATATTCAATACATCAAAGTTTAATAAGAAGGATATGCATAGACCTTGAGTACTCCCAAATTCTTCTTCAGTAATTTACTCCTTTCCTCGCATGAGTAGTAAAAGAAGTCAGAATTTGAATTTTCACTGTTGCTTTCTATTAACTGCAGTCTGTGGTTAAGAGCTTATAAATATGTCAGGTGTAGGAGTTAGTTTTCAAACCCAGATCTTGATTCACAACTAAGTTTATATGTGAATTGCAGAAAGAGGAGAAGCTAACCATGCTGCATGCAATGGGAATAGTTCTGAAAACCATAATTTATTAAGCTAAAATTTGCATTCATAAAAAGTTATGTGATGTGAAAATGCGGCTTTAGAGTTATCCAACAGCCAAATCCAATTCTATCCTCATTTCATTACATGTTTATAAAAAGTCTTTTTAAAGTCAGCTTTCTGGCAACACTTTTGGACTATTCTATGGAAAGCATTAGATGAAATCTGTGGCACTAAGTTGATCCCATAACCCTCCTATTGCATTATTTTTGAAAAGTATCTTTTACTTCCTTAACAAATTCAATTTTCAATTTTAAAACTTTTATTTCATTATCTTATTCATATGTGAACTACCCAATTTTTTAAGTACAGTACTGTATTCCAACAACTACAAACCATGCCATATACTAAAAGGGCCTTATTGCATTTGTATCTTCCTTTTCCTTTTACTAATATACATTCAATTTAAAAACATAGTATGATGTTTGAGTTTCATGCTTTTTCTCATCAGCACTGATCCATTTAAACTGGGCAGTGAATCACATCACATTTGAAAATACCTGTGACAGGGATGAAAAGGAGGATGCCATGCTAAGGCTATGACACACATTTTATTCCTGAATTGCTCATCTGTGTGTTCAGGTGGAGATAGAAAATTGTAAAACTGTCCAGAGTCACTTCGTAGAGTGAGATGGGCAGCATATAAATATAATAAACTAAAGAAAAAACAAACAAACAAAAATCACTGGATCAATGCTGGCACAAAGCGGGCCTTACCATGTCTCTGACAAATTACTGGAGTAGCCCAAGAAATTGGAGATCAAGTACTTGATGTAAAACTCACATCATTTCAAGATTTCTATTTCTGTAGTAATTGATAAAAATGTTCTAGCCAGGAATTTGTGTTACGTGCTTTAAATTTCTGTGTTATGCTAAAATTTAAATGTTCCTTTTTTCCTTTATAAATATAAGAATTATGTGCATCTTTCACCCCATGTTAGGATTATTTATGGAGCTATACAAACGTATTTCTGTAAACGCTTCCAGTGATAATAATTTGATAATCTCTCCAGTGCAAAGTTTTCTGCCAGAAACCTCATTATTTGTACCAGACCAGCTTCCACCCCCTTGAGCTTCACCAGAACAAGAAACAAACTCTGCTAGATTATTGGAACTACTGATATTATACTACAGTACAGTATCTCACAGGCCTAAACCTCTAGTTATGTGTCTTTATGCCACACAGCTAGGAGGATACAGTAATTTAGTTCTATTTTTTTAACATTTTGACTCTTTGAATTAACAAAAAGATCAGCATAAGATGTGAGAGACCTACACCTTCAACCCTATGATTAGGGTTGAAAGATGACAAGGAAAGATGACAAGTGAGGTCCCCTATGGAAGTTAGTTGGTGGCAGCAGGAATTACCAAGCAGAGGGTGGAATTCTAGTGTGAAGTCACAGAGGCTTCTGGAACAGGAACTGGGAGACCTTCCACAGGTTTTCATACTACACGTGTAACTGGACACTTAAAAGCTTTTCTTGAAAAAAACAATTATCATTTACTAATCCATTTCCTTCCTTCCTTCCTTCCTTCCTTCCTTCCTTCCTTCCTTCCTTCCTTCCTTCTTTCCTTCCATGCATTCCATCCATCCAATCCATCCATAAAGAAATGTATATGTTTTTGTAGTACATATCTATGACATAATGTAAGCTAGATAATCATAGTGGTTTAATAACAGCTAGTAAGAACTTCAATAAGGATTTTAACCTGAATCTTTCTTTTTGTATATCTTCCATTTTTGATCTCTGGTTCTGAAATCCCATTGCTTAAGGTCCTTTCCCATACTAATGGTAGTATATAAAACCAAAGTAAAGCTACTAAAAAGATGCATGAGACTGAGAAAATGCCAGCATCATTATAATTGTATTGTTTTTTCTCTTCTTAAATTCTAAATTATATAATGGAATTTGTATCAGTAATTTCACTAGTAACAAAACTAAATCAAGCAAAGTACACTTGCTGAAATACTGTAGCATTTATGCATTTTGAAATTCTGGAATTCACTGCCTCAAGTTGTAGATTTTTAAACTGCTTTAAAAGAGATTAAACAAATTTATAGAGAATAAGGTATCAATAACTATTAGTCATGGTGATTAAACGTTATCTCCAGAATCAGAGATAGCACGATTCTCAATTCCAGTTACAAGAGAACAATCCAGTTACAAGGGAAAAGGCTGTTGGTAACTGGCTTTACATACACACTTGCAGGATTTGCATAAATATCTGGTTGGCCAATATAAGAAACATAATCCTAGCATAGACAGATTTTTAATCTGATCCAGAGGGCTTCTTTTGCATTTTTAAATTCAATGACAGTAAACATTAAGGGAAAATAGAGCACAGAAAGATTATGCTAAGGTTGTATTTTTTGTAATAGATGAAAAACGAAACAGACTAGTATTGCACTAATGGAAAAAAGAAAGAAAAAGTTACTCTTTAAAATCTTTATATCTCATGACCTTATAACTGGGGAATGCACTAACTGCCTTCATTCAGTTTGGTAGCCTATTCTGGACTCTGCAAATGGTGTAACCAAATTTGGAGGTTGCCAGCAGATCTGAAATGTAATTTGTAAAACTACCTCTGTTCCCTCATGGGGAAAAAAACAAATATCCAACTTTGTTCTTCAGCAACATGGGATAAATATTGCAAGTAAATAGAAAACTATAAGTGCAACGTGTCAGATTCAATAAACATCTGTGTACTGGATCTTTATATTTTGTATCTGATTTTAAAAGGAAAAGCAGTACTGTACTACAACGTAATTGTTTTGAAACTGAATGTAATTGCGTTTGCAGTGGGAATGCCCACCCACCCCCATTTTCATATGGAAAGATTTTAGATGGAAATCTCTCTTTACACAAATGGAATATATTTAATAGAAATTATCAAATAATAAAACAGTCAGTAGCTAATTAATTCAACCTTAAACATAATTATTACACAACAGTTCGTGTGAATATTAAGGCTGTACAGCACATAGTAAAATAAAAATATCTCTGTAACAAGGCTATACAAAACATTCTGAATTCATGCCACTTTGAAGTCATTTACTTAAAGCCTCAAGCCATAGCTCATTTCAGAGTTGAAACACCTCATTTCAAGGGCAAACCTTTCAAATAAACGCAATCTGATTCATCATTTGAGAAGCACTGTGAACTCAAGCTAGGAATATTTTAAATCTGAATAATTTCAATTTCAAGGTGTTCTTGTATGGACCTTAATCTTCAGCCTCCAGGCTTTTATGATTTTAGTGACTAAACTGTGATGTTCTCACGTTAATTAAAGGGCAAAATTCCCAGTTACTAAATGCAATATTCCTCTTCACTTCTTTTCCTATTTCAAAGCTACTATACTTGGCAGCATATTAGAACTCAGGATAAACTATATGGGACTAGAACTCTGTGGACTTCCCAATTTAGAAACCATACAACTCCTGACTTTTTTACCTTGTGGAAACTGAATATAGCCTGATATACGTCATTCTGCATTGGCAGCAGGATTTTACTGAACTCAATACATACATTTACATTAACTCAACTAGTCAACCAAGATCACTGTTACTGGATTTTATTAAATATTACTTCAGTTTATCTCACAAATCATGTAATGGTCTTGTGCTCTACACTTTCCAAGGATAATGCTTTTTCTTTATGATATATAGCTTTTGCCAGAGTCACTTATTAACATAGCAAACAGAAATCAACCACAGGCTAATGTAATTATTTGTTCCTCTGAGAAAGGATTTCTTATTTCTGAAACAGAAATTATCATTTCAGAAATCAGTTAATGCAGCCACAAAAATTTGATTGCTAATATCTTCTGACATATGGTTAGTGTTATTTTGTTAAAATTCCAAGAAAATGCTTTTCAGATGGGAATTTTCATGGCACTGTACCTTTGTTATATTCCATTAAACTGGTTTAACTTGTTTAGCAGTGCTATTCTATTAAATGCAAAGGAGCTTCTTTGTTTAAATAATCTGTATAAATATGGAACAACTAATAAGTCTCATGTTACATATAATTCATAGTTAAAGTAGTTATTGCTCTCAGAAAAAGAAGAAACATTTATACTTCTCCAAGTCTGTAATACTATACAAGATGGCAAATCTACAAGGACGTGTGTGTCTGTCTGTCTGTCTGTCTTTCTGTCTGTCTGTCTATCTATCTATCTATCTATCTATCATCTATCTATCTATCTATCTATCTATCTATATGGATCTTTGGTTATTTGGGTTTTCTCCCGCGTAAGATTGGAAGTACCTAGGCAACATGTCCCGCGAGAACCTCAGAAAACAAATATATATATAGATATAGATATAGATATATAGATATAGATATATAGATATAGATATATAGATATAGATATAGATATAGATATGGTATTCAGCTTTGTTCGGGCATTTTTCTACGTCATTATAGTTGAGCTTTTAAAGTTATAGCAACGTTTCGGCAGAATCTCATCTGCCATCATCAGGCTTCTGTATTGTGTTCATCTGTGAGTCAGACTTTCACAGCCGTTTCAGTTTTAAATTTGAGGCTAGCCTAATGCTGTGCCAGAATGGTTTTTTCTTCATCCTGATTGGTTGGGAGTCTTGGTCTGTGTTTATTGGTCTTGGAGTTTGCTGTGTTCTGCTTGACTGGTGTTTCTAATATCTTCTGTTTTGTGGCTTTTTTTGTCTTGATTGGCTGGCAACATTGTGTTCCTATATTGGAGGCTTTTAGTGCAGCTTGGCTCTGAGTAAATGGACGACTATCATTTATTAGGAAGCTAGGTTTCATCTGGGTGCCTGGTTGGGGTGTGTTTGAGCTGGAGGTATCAGGGGGGATCTGTTTGTGCCTAGGTGTTTGCCTGGCTTGTGGTGTGGAGATATTTTTGTTTGAGAGTGCAGGCTTCCAAATTTGACAGTCTGGTGGAATCATCTCTTCTATTCATGCTTTCAGGTCTTTTTTCAATCTCTATGGCTTCTCTGATAATTCTGTGGCTGGGGTTTTCTATAGTGGCTAAGGTTTTGGTGCCATTGAAGTCGATGCTATGACCTGTGGCTTTCATGTGTTGGACTAATGAGGAAATGTGTTCCAGCTTTTTTACTGCATTTTTGTGTTCATCTAGGCGGGCACTTATTCTTCTATTGGTCCGTCCAATGTATGTGGCAGGGCATGATGCACAGGGGTCTTCATATATGCCTTGGTTTTCCAGGTCAATTTTATATTTGGGGTTTCTTAGTATGGCTGTTATTTTTCTGTCTGTTTTGAAGGCACTCTTGATGTGATGCCTGTGTAGTATCTTACTGATTTTGTCTGTGGTACCTCTTATGTAGGGCAGGACAACTGTTCCATAGGTCTGTTCATCTTCTAGGTCTCCATTATGTCTCAATGTGTTTTTGTGGATCAAGTCAGTGATTTTGCTTTTGTGGAAGCCGTTAGCTGTCAGTACTTTAGTCAGGGTGCATAGTTCAGTCTTTATGTGTGTCTTATCTGCCAGGCGTTTGGTTCTGGCGATTAGTGTTTTGGCCACAGAGTTTATCTGTGCTGGGTGGTGGTGGGATTGGGCATTGAGGTAGAGGTTGGTGTGTGTTTTCTTCTGGCATGTGGTGTGTCCTAGTGTGCCATCTGTTTTTTTTTTTTTTTTTGGTAGATTAGTACATCTAGGAATGGTAGTTGTTTGTTTGTTTCCGTTTCCATGGTGAACTTGATTTTGGGGTATGTGCTGTTTAGGTGTGTTAGGAAATTGTTTAGGTTTTCTTTTCCATGGGGCCAAATCACAAATATGTTATCGATGTATCTTAACCATAGTTTGGGTTTGTGGGTGGCATTAGCTAGGGCTCTGGATTCAAATTCTTCCATGAACAGGTTTGCAATGACGGGTGACAGTGGTGATCCCACAGGGGCTCCTTCAATTTGCTTGTATCTTTGTCCTTTGTATATGAAATATGTGTTGGTTACACAGTGTTCTGCTAGTTCCATGAAGTGTTTAGCTGGTTGGTATTTATTTTTGATGATTTCAAGAGTTTCTTTTATCGGGACTTGAGTGAATAGTGAAACCACGTCGAAACTTACAAGCAGATATCTATCTATACATACATACATACATACATACATACATACACATACATACATACATACATACATGCAGGTTTTGGCATGTTTGGGTCTTTTTCTGTGTAAGATTGAGAGTATCTTGGTGACGTTTTGACAAGGTCCCACTCACCATCTTCAAGCTGCTGTTTTTGGCTTCGTGCACGAACCTGAAAGCACCAGCCTGAAGATGGCGAGTGGGACCTTGTTGAAATGTCGCCAAGATACTCTCAATCTTACACAGGAAAAGACCCAAACACGCCAAAACCTGCA